TTGGAATATTGCAAAGTTAGCACCAGATGGGTCCCACAGATGCTCATATGGGAACAGATAAAACAGCGTATACAAGTTTGTCAGGACCTATCAAATCAATATGAGACTGAAAGTGAGTTTCCTGGATCACATCATTACCAGTGACAAGACGTGGTGTCAGAACAGCAGTCCATAGAGCAGTGACATGTGAATTCCCCGTTGAAGAAAAAGTTCAAGAAGCAGTCCTCAGCAGATAAAGTGATGTGCACTGTCTTTTGGGATAGGAAATGGGTGATCCCTCTCGATTGTCTGGAACCCGGACAAACCATCAGCTCTGGTCAGTCAGTGTTTCATGACACTGACTAAACTGAAGGCTCAAACTTGCAGAGTCAGGATAGAGAAGAAGAAAACCTTTCTTTTGTAACACAGTAATGCCAGGCCGTGTAGCGACTTTAAGACCCACATATTGCCAGTCTTGGCTTGATTGATGTATCACTCCTTCTGATAGTTCAGATTTGGCTCCCTCTGACTTCAGATGAGAGAAAGATGGACTTCAGGAGCAAAGTAACAACGCTGCCCTAACAGCTGTGAAACAGTGGGTCACTTCTGTTGGTGCGGATTTTACAAGCGTGGCATGCAGGCTCTTGCTGGAGAAAATGCACAGCTAATGATGGTGACTGTTGAAAAACAGTGTTTTGTAGCTGAGAATTTACTCTATCAAATAGCGTTATTGTGCTCTTTTTTATCTGTTGTCATTTCCACGGAAGTAAACAGGAAGCATTACTTTCAGAGCAAACTGCACACCACATGGCACAGTTGTTTGAATGGTGTGTAGTGGTGGAATAGCTGTATCCTTATAGGAAAGATATGAATTACAGGCTATTATACATGATTTCCTATTACGTGAGCTCAGCTTTAAGACATAAAACTTAGAGGAATTTTTACAAAGAAAACCAAATGTGGAGGGAGGATGTTTATCTTTAAAAGGGATTATGCAACAATCCCAGGAGCCTCTTTTACTCGGGAAAATGTGGCCAGCAAGTTCTGTGTCAGACTGCAGTACATGGAACAGGGCTGCAGCTTGTACAATAGGCTTTTCTAGCTGACTCTTCACCTCATCAGAGTTCAGTCAGGGCAATGTGAAATCCTGGACACGTGGGTGACAGACTGGAGGCTTAGTTACCTGCTTCTGCATTCCTGCTGCTTCTGAGCAAGCTCCTGTTTCATCTTGCTGGGCTCCTCTGCAGTTCTGCAAATACTCCTTTTCAAAGGGAAGTGGTGTGTAGCATTTCACTACAAAAAACAAGGGGATGCTGCATGAGTAATTCCAAGCAGTCTGCAATTCTTCACGAGCACCCTGCAGACCTGTGCAGGAAATGGCCTTGGCCCAGGTGAGTTGCTCAGGCACAGGCATCCTGATTCCGGTTGCCTTATGGCCCAGTGGGCTCTTTGCACCTCCTCTGTCGGAGTGGCAGGATCTGGGGAGTGGACTCTGCGTGCCAGCATCAAGGCTGAGCAGCTCTATTTGAACAGTATCTAATTGAGAGACAAGGGCATGCTTTCTGCAGAATACTCTCAGCAGTACTGGCATTTCCTCACCTACCTGAAAAAGTTTCGTTTGGTTTCTGTCAGAATCCCAAAATGGAAGATCAGGATCGCCAGGATACTCACTGCTTATTGCTGTTCCAGTACAAGGAGCATTGCTGTTGGTCATTTTACCCTCCATGCCACTTTGAGTTCCTTTTGGTCTTTTTAAATAGCAAAGAAAAAGACTTCAAATAATCTAGAAACTGAATACAGTGCTAGTCAAGCATTAATCACATTTGGAATGCTTATTTTAGCTAAACTGTGGGGGAAGAGCTTTCTCTTTTAACAGACAAAAATATTTTTTGTGTCAAGGGCATTGCTAGAATGTTCATAGAATCACAGACTGGCTTGGGTTGGAAGGGACCTTAAAGCCCATCCAGTCCCAACCCCCTGCCATGGGCAGTGCCAGCCAGCAGCTCAGGCTGCCCAGGGCCCCATCCAACCTGGCCTTGAGTGCCTCCAGGGATGAGGCACCCACAAGTTTCTCTGGGCAGCTGTGCCCATTCAGTAATGAGATTCTTCCTAATATCTAACTTCATTTTCCCCTCTTTTAATTTAAAGCCATTCCCCCTTAACCTATCACTGTTAGATTATGTAAATGTCTGTCTCTTTCCTGCTTATAAACTCCCTTCAAATACTGAAAGGAATGGTGTTGCAGTGTTCATTTTCGAAAGACAGATGTCCAGTTTGTTGATATGAATAATCAATTATTAGCAAAAAAAATAATTTGAATCTTGCTTTGATCTCCTTAAGCAAGGAGGGGAATTATAGTCTCTTCTACCAAGTTAGAATCTTGGTTTTCCTCAGAAAAAGAAAAAAGGTACTAAAAATACTAAGTTTTCTCTTTTTTATTTTTATACTGCCCGTGCAATTCATGTCTTTGTAAAGACATTTGCAAAGCATTCATTTGCAGCTTACCCTTTTCCTTAGAAATCTGTTTCTGCATTATGGCATGCTGCAGTACAGCAGTGCTTGGCACAGTCTGTGCCACGCGGTGCATGGCTGTGACAGCCTGCACTGCCTGCCTTTAGCACCACTCCTGTCAGTTTGAACATGACTCCCCAGCTATGTGCCAGCTCTGCGTGGGGAAAAATGCAGAGGTTTCAATCAATAATAATGCATTCCAACCAATCATACGCCTCATTAATCTCTTATTACTGAGTTTCTTGTCCAGGCTGTTTAGCCTGACAGATCAGTCCACGAATGTATAATATTCAAGTGTATTTTTTTTAAATATGAAGGAATTTGTGTCTGGACACTTAAGACTGGGTCAGCAGTTGGTGAAGTATTTCTAAGCAGAAGGGATGGAATGCTTTGCTTTTAATGCCTGACACATCTGTGTGCGTTGGAGAATCACAGAATCATAGCAAGGCTTGGGTTGGAAGGGATCTCGAGGATCATCAGGCTCCAACCTCCCCCTGCCTCCCCCCCCCCCGCCACAAGCAGGGCCGACAACCTCCACATTTAATACTAGACCAGGCTGCCCAGGGCCCCATCCAACCTGGCCTTAGAGGAAATGCTGCTGGAGGAGACCAGGATTGAAACGTGTCTTTTCACACTGCCTCAAAGTACATGAGCAAGTGGTTCAGTGGGCAAAACGTCTGATGCTCTGGCTGTGTGGGATTTAGTGAGTTCTTAATAAACTCATGGAACAGAGGAGACAGTGGCTCTGCAGTTACTTTGTGTTTTTAAATAAACTTCTGACAAGCTGTAGTTGCTATAAGCAGGATTACTGGCATTGAACTTTTCTCTCATCCAGCTGGAAAGCAAAACAAAGCCTGGCATTAATGAGGCAATCCTATTACATTTAGAACTAACAAACAAAACCGAAGCCTCTTGAAAGTGTCGATCTGCAGGACAGTAAAACCAAGCACTGCCATCGCTGGTGCTCTGCAGCTCAGCTTTCTCCTTCAGGAAATGCAGTGCCTTTAACCAAGACGTGCTGTTACTTTGCATTTGAAGAATCCATCGCAAACCAGAATTTAATCCAGACTCTCAGCTTGTACTGAATTGCAGCAGTCCCTGATGCTATCACCATGGCCCTTGTCCTCATGATGTCACCGGCTGTGGTCCCCAGGGGACACATGGGCTCTCAGTGCTCGCTGGCTGCTCCTTTGCTTGTGTTTCCTGCTGCAGGCAGGCTGCTCTTACTGCTCTGCTGTGCCTTCATTTTAATCTGCTTGGGTTTTAAATATATCATCTGCATATGGATGTCCCAGTGATGCTACAGAGAAAAGGATAGCTGTTGTGACTGACGGGAGAGCCGAACAGTTTGTTCACCAGGCATGTAACGCATTTAGCTGTGCTAGCATATTTATAAACACGCTGTATTGTAACTGGGTGATCTCATCGCCTCTGTGGAAGAGGGGTTATAAAGACACATGCTGAAGTCTTCATGTGTAGGGAAAAACATGGCCTCGGTGGCTCATGGAAAAAAACACGTTTATCGCTGAGATGGAGCTGTTGAACTGAAGCCATTTCTGGAGAGACAAGAGAAGTGTTGTGCTTGATGCAGAAATGCTAGACTGAGTGGGGCTGGACTTATCTGGAGTTCGGTGGAACTTCTAAAACAGTTTTCAGTGGGGAAAAAATGTAAGAAAAGTCTCTTGTAAGAGACAGAAACAAACAAAAATCTCTCCATTGCATTGGAATGGGTGAAGCAACACTAGGTGTGTCTGAACCAAACATGCCAGCAGATGAGCACTGCTCTGAATAACAAACTTTGCTGGTTATAGTAACAGCTGTAATGGAATATATTTGTGCTGTTTGTACAAATTATGCTAAATGAACACGATCAAAGTGTGGAAATACACAGTTGAGTTTCCCCAAGTAAACCTAGTACAGCCTTGAACACATGATATGAGTATTTTCTCCCTGGGCAACCTGATGGAGGTGTTGTGTTCCTGTTCAGTGCAGGGGAGTTGGACTAGATGGTCCTCAGACCTTCCAAGACTAAGGATTCCATGATTCTATGATTTTTTATGCAGCAGAAATCTACAGTGTTGGAGTACTCTGTGATATTTTTACCTTCTCGCCACAAAACCACTTGGAGGGATGCACTTGTGAAGCATGGTTTGTTTCTCTTCTTCATGGCCCAGCATAGCTATGTGTACATATGATTCACACAGAGTGGAAACACCTTCCCTACTTCTTCGCTGGTGTTACCTCATTCCCCAGAGAAATCCATACCTGAGCCATGCAACCTTCAGAGGCACAGCTGGAATGTAGGGAACCTTTTTTTTTTACAGATAAGATAGACATAAAAGCCTGCAAAAAAAACTGATGTGCCTTTTGAGACAAGATGGATAATGCAGCAACAGAATCATTAAGCTCAGATGAAGTTTCAAAAATAAAGGGAATTTGGTTATAGGGGGCAGGGAGAAAAAAAAGCTTTTGGAAAGAGGAGTTAATGTTGGTGTCTGTCTGCCTTGTAGGTACATACGTTCTGACAACTGCCCTGCTGCCCCTCCTAGAAAAAGAAGCTGACGCCAGAGTGGTAAGTTTGGGATGCTGTTGGAAAGTGGTGTTTAACAATTCTTTTCCTGTGATTTGTGACAGCATCTCTTTGCCTGTGTTAGCAATGCAGCATTATTTATAATTCCATGAGCATCTCTAGTATCCTCTTGGATTTTGCCAGCAACGAGCTCCTTCTCCAGTTCTTGCCTGCTGCTCTGAACCCTTCATTGGAAAGCAGAGTAAAATATTTCCTTTAGAAACTTTCCTTTTTTGTTTCCCTGGGGCTAGTTATCTCCTGCAGTATAGTGCAAAATACTAATAACAGGAGTATAGGCTTAAAAAGCTTTACTGGTTTTGGTATTTGGAATTTAGAATAGGACAGAAAGTACATTTTTAACATGAAATTTCCTAAGTTTTATATAGTATCTCTTGTTTCTAATTAGCTTATATTAAATGCTAAAGGTATAAACTACAAATAGTGCTGTTTTGCTGTTTTCTTTCTGCCAATTTCACTTTGAAAGGAAAAAAAGACAAAGAGTTCCCTGATGGAGTCGACACCATTTTGAATGAAAATCAATTGTTCATTTCTTTTTAAAAGTAATTCTTCCACTATATCTCCAGGTAAGCTCCCTGTATGAGCATGAGCACAAGCACAGCGGGGAATGGGCAGGAGAGTCCTGCTCCCAGGGATTCCAAAATGTGGAATTACATGTGAATTACTCATTCACATGCATGAGTAATGACACTGGGGAGTTGTTTGCTTTTTCATTTGTTTTTCATTCATTTGCTTGCAGGTAACTGTCTCTTCTGGGGGCATGCTAGTTCAAAAACTAGACATATCTGACTTGCAGTCAGGAAGTGGAACGTTTGATGGAACTATGGTGTATGCTCAAAACAAGGTACAGCCCTGGTTTTGAAAACGAAGCCTAGCACTTATTTGCATGCTGACATACCATCTGCTTTGCACAAGGCTTCACACACACACACACATATAAAGTTTGCTGTGGCTTTCCCACTGCATCCAACCTGTTCAGAGATATGCAGGCAATAATCTTCTGTTGATGTCACACACTTTTGGTGCATATCGCCTGGGCAGGGGGAACACGACTTTCGTTTGGTTTGAGTTTCAGTGGGGAATGCTGTCTTTAGCTGACAATCCCTTTTTGTTTGCTTGATTCTTCCTTGCAGTCTGCAGCAAGCAGAAATGGTGAGTAAAAGCAGTGTAACCCCTTTAAGAATAAGCTTGTGGGTATGGTGATCATGATGGTGATCATGATGGTCTCTGCCAAAATTACTCACTAAGCCCGATGTGGGTGAGCAAGGATATATTTCTGCTATACATAAGTGCCATGATATTGCACATTTGGTATAGTTTATTTCCCTGGGAACAAACACTGTGGAAAGGATGTCAGACTTGATGCTAATCTGGCTGTTCTTGCTCTATTCTAGAGACAGCAAGTTGTCTTGACAGAACAATGGGCAAAAACTCACAGAAGCATCCATTTCTCTGTTATGCACCCGGGCTGGGCAGACACTCCAGGTATCATTTGCTTGACACTCAAACTCCCTTTTTTTTCTAGACTAGCCTAAAAGCAAACAGAAGAGAGACTTTCTGCTAAATTGCTCTAGCAGGTGCAGTCATTTCTTGTCTCTGAACTGGCTCTTAGAGTAGTTTTGTACTCCCTTGGTAGTCCTATCCTGCACAATGTCTGCCATCTGCGTGGAGCTGGAGAATAATAAAGGGCTGCAAATGATTCCAGCCCCATGCAAATGCACAGAAAAGCCTCAGTGCTTGAAGCTAACCTCTAAATTACATTTGCAACAGGACTGTTAAACACATAAGCAGCTTCTGCCTCTGCGAGCACCAGTGTGCAGATGTTGCAAGCCTTCAAGGATGCACGGGAAAAACAAGCACGCATCGTGTGCATGCCTTGTTCCTCTGCTCCTCCTCTAAACATTTATAGTCATGGAGAAGTGGTGTGCTTGGCTAGACAGCTCTGTCTGAGCTGCAGCTGTTCGTTACTGCCTGGCTCAGCAGGAGGGCCAGCATGCGAGTTGTGTTCTGCAATATGTTCTCAGCCCCTCACACCCCAGTTTGGGCTGCAGACTAGCAATCCAAAATCTGATTATTATTATTTTTTTTTCCCAGAGACACAGTTTTCCAAATTTGTTTCTTACAATAGAAACATTTAAACCCATCTACTTTTTGCTTGAAAATTAATCTGTCCAAATCTTAGTGTTACTTTTTCTTTAAAATATATTTATTTAGCACATCGTTGATGCGTTCCCAAACCTAATGATCTTTAATGTTATGCCACCATAAAGTTCAAGGGCTACCCAATCCCCTAAAAATAAACAGCTGCAGGAGACAGGCCTTCAGTCATCATCTGTTATATAAAATATAAATAATCCAGTGTTTAAACACCGAATATGTAGTTAGTTTCACCATAAAATTTTGAAACACTGTGCTGCAATTGATTTCCTAAAAAGGATGTGAAAATAAGAATTAAAATCTATCAGAATACCTGTTTATTTGGTATTTCTATTTCCCCCATGTTTAACTTCTTTGGAATCGGGTCGGAAACCTCTCACTGATCCTGTTCTCACCTCCTGTTAATTTTCTTAGTGCAATTTGATCCAAACAAGCAATTGCTTGATCATCTGGCAGCTTAACGCTATTCCACCATGGTCACCATGTGCCTGGCTATGGAGAAATACTTTCATTATTTTTGAGAAGCCTTCCCTTCATTGTACACTCACAATGGCAATTTTAAGCATAACTTTTTTTAATCATAAAAGCCTTGCATGGTAGCCCACCATCCCTTTGTTCTCTCTAGCTGTGAGGTCCTCGATGCCAGACTTCTATCAGAAGATGAAGAACAGCCTGCGTACAGAGGCGCAGGGAGCTGATACTGTGGTGTGGTTGGCAGTATCATCTGAGGCAGCAAAGTTACCCAGTGGCCTCTTCTTCCAAGGTGAGTCTGTCATTGCATGTCAATGGAGACTGCTAACTGCAATTGTAGCATCCTAATCTGGCCTGGAAAGGGATGGAGACTGGACCAGGCAGCTGATTTTCAACGGGTAAAGGGTTTCTCAAAGTTATCCCAAGACTAAAAGTTTAAGTGAGCTCTTCAGAAAGTAAAGAGAAAGTCCTGTAAAAGACTGTTAAGCTGTTGTGTTCCTGCTGTTGTCCTCTAAATCAGCTCAGAGACTTCAGAGCGTTAGGGAAGTTTTCTTGGTTTGAATGAAGATGGCTGTTTGCAGAACTGTGCCAAGGGAAGGTAAATCACAGCAGCCAAAACTGCATCTTTTATGATGCTGGGAAAGTAGCAGCCCTCTCACAGAGCACTGAGGGTTGGCTGTGCCAACCTTTGACAGGTTCTTCCTTCCTACCTCTCCATGCTCATGTGAAACTGCCAACACCCCTTTTCTCTGAAGCCAGGCAGAGATCAGAACACAGTGGCTTTTTTTGGCATTACTAGCATAATGAATTTAAGTGGAAGAAATAGGCCAGAGCCTCATCTCTCAGACAGGTGGCAGGCACCTGAGAGAAAGCAGCTGGAAGCATAGATGTTTCAGTCCTGATGCAGGTCAGTCCACTAGGAGGAAGGCAAAGCTTGGGATAACTGCTTACAGGCACCCCACGCTGCATCTTGGATGTCAAATTCCAATTCACTGGAGTTTCTAGTTGGAGCATGCAGAAAGTTTGGACTTTTTGAGCTGGGTTCACTTTGTCCTTTCTGTTCCCTCCCAGGCATTGCACTGGGTTGGTATACTTCACCTGACCTTTTGCATGTCTTCATGTGGTGCATGCAGAAACAACACCTCCCAACTGGTCATTCCACTCTATAGCCCCAGAATTGCCTTTTTTTTTTGTACTCCTGTCATCTCCTGCTGATCCTGACTTCTTCTCAGAAGAATCCATGCTCTGGATCCTAATTCCAACAGTCTCTTGCTTTTGGCCTTGGTCTAACTCTGGCCTTAGTAAACAGGAAACATGCGTTGGCTCTTCAGCTGTAGGTAATGACTTCTGAGAACTTTGGCATGATTGCTTTTAAGATTGCAGGGGAATTTTTGTGTCGTGTGCTTACTGCATAGAGATGGAGTCAGACAGTTTTTTCTCTCCCCCAATGCCTTATGGGTGCCACAGGTTAGAGTGTAAGGTCTTTGGATCCTTTAGTAAAGGGTTTAAGGTGCTGGAGTCAATACAGACCCTTCTGGTCCTAGACGGCCATTTCCTGAGTCAGTAACACCTTCCCCCCATTTCCTCTGTTCCGTTTTATTCTGTTCCCTTTGAGTGCAAACTAGAGCCAGCATTTCTTTTTCCTGAGGAAAAAAAAAAAAGGTAAGAACATGACTCCTACAACCAGAATTCTCTGCATCTGCCAAAATAAATAAAAAATGTCTGACAGGGTCCTGCTTTCCAAGTCTGGAAGCATCCTTTCTGTGATACTGAGCTCAGCTTTCACACACAGTTCCCAAACTTGAGCACAAACTTCTTGAAGCACCCCCGTCACTTAGGAAGCAGTCCATGTTCAGTGACAGAGAAAGGAATGTTCCTCTGCCTGTTTCTCTCTCCTTGCGTTTCCCCGAGCAGGGGTTATGTGGTGTGTGCAGCCAGTTATGACATTTGCTCTAAAGAGATGAAACGTCTCTGCTCCCCTGAGAAGCCTGATAGACTTTCAGAGAAATCTGCTGCCCACCGTTGGAACAGATTATTCTCTCGTCTCAGCTGGTTAATGCAGAACTTGGACTTCATAAGTAAAGTAACGGTGCTGCACTAGTGCTCTCACAGTTGTTTCCTAGACATCTAAGAGCACTTCCATAAGGTTCCTCAGCTCCAGATACCATGCTTTTTGAGAGAAAAAAATCCCTTCAAATCCACAGTGGTACAGCTGCATTTACAGAGTGAGTGAGGAGAACAACGTATGGAAAGCCAGCCAAAGTATCACACTGAATAAGTTTGGTCAAACATCTTTATTGTGTGCACATTACTTGTGGCAGTTGAGTAATTAGCAGAAGTTCTTTGGCATGTAGAATTTATCCATTTATTTTTAAGGATGAAAGTAAGCTTTTAAAGATAGCAAGTAATCCAAACTACAAAGTCCCAATTGAGAAATTTGTGTAGCACTAGAAGCATTACCCAGCAGACAGTGAAAAACCCTTTCTGATGCAGAAAATGCAACTTCTATCTTTAATAATAGTCACAAGCTCCTGGTCTAACAGGAGTCAAACTAGTGACTGAGAGCAGGCGTAAACCCCACAGCAAGGCCTTCCTTTATCCATCTGCAAATGAGATCTCACTCACCACTCTGAGTCATATTGTGTGAAAGGCCAATTATTCTGGTTCCAGGAAACAAATGAAATTAATTTCTGGTTTGGAAGATGTACATAACTAGTATAGAGCATAGCTGAAAAATCTCTTCTGTGCTTGAAGAGGTAGATAAATATACCTATTAAGATTTTTTCTTTCTTTCTTCTAGACAGGCAACCAGTCCCTACACACCTACCCTTAGCAAGAACTCACAGCCCACCAGGGGATGAGGAGAAGCTAATGGAGGTGCTGGAAGAATTCTCCCAGAAGTTTAAATCCACTTCTCCAGGATCCCCTCAGTGCAGCTGAAGATCATGGAGCAGATCTTCCTGGAAAATATGCTAAGGCACATGGAAGAGAAGGATGTGATACGGGATAACCAGCATGGCTTCACCAAGGGCAGGTTCTGCCTGACCAACTTTGTTGCTTTTTATGATGGCGTAACTGCATCAGTAGACAAGGAAAGAGCCACTGATGTCATCTATGTGGACTTCAGAAAGGCCACAGTCCCCCATAACAGCTTTCTCTCCAAATTGGAAAGGGACAGAGTCCCCTATAACATTCTTCTCTCCAAAGTGGAAAGGTATGGATTTGATGAGTGGACAGGGAAATAGGATTGTACCTTGGGAGTGGTGATCTATGCACTGATGTGCAGATAGAGATCAGTTACAAGTGGTGTTCCTCAGGGGTCATTACTGGGACCTGTACTTTTTAACATCTTAATTAATGAACAGTGGGATCAAGTGCACCCTCAGCAAGTTTCCAGATGATGCCAAGATGTCTGGTGCAGTTGATACACCTGGGGAACAGGATGCCATTGAGAGAGACCTAGACTGCCTTGAGCAGTGGGCCCAGGAGAACCTCCTGAGGTTCAATAAATCCTGCACGTGGTCCTGCACGTGGGTTGTGGTAACCTCTGCTACCAGTGCAAACTGGGGGATGTAAGCATGGAGCACCGCCGCAAGGGACCTGAATGAACAGGTGGATGGGAAGCTGGACATGAACCAGCAATGGACCCTCGCAGCCCAGAGAATCAACCATATCCTTACAAAGCAGTGTGGCTGGCAGGGTGAGGGAGGTGATCCTGCCTTTCTGCTCTGCACTGTGAGGCCTCACCTGGAGTACTGCATCCAGATGTGGAGTTCCCAGCACAGGAGAGACACAGACCTGTTGGAGTGCATCCAGAGGAGGGCAGCAAAAATGATCACCTCTCCTGGTGATCATTTTTGAGGGAGCTGGGACTGTTCAGCCTGGAAAAGAGAAGGTCTGCCAGGGAGACCTGGAAGCAGCCTTTCAGTATCTAAAGGGGAGCTGTAAGAAGGAAGGAACAGACTCTTTAGCAGGGTCTGCTGTGACAGGACAAGGGGAAATGGTTTCAAACTGAAAGAGAGGAGATTTAGATTGGACACAAGGAAGAGGTTTTTTACTACTTTTTTACAGAGGTGAGGCACTGGAACAGGATGGCCAGAGAGGTGATGGATGCTCCGTCCCTGGAGACACCCAAGGTCAGGCTGGAGGGGCTCTGAGTACCTGACGAAGCTGTAGGTGTCCCTGTTTGTTGCAGGGGAGTTGGACCAGATGGCCTTTAGGGGTCCTTTCCAACTCAAAATATCCAGTGATTCTATGATCTTAGCATCACTGCTGATACAGCATAACCACAAAGCTTTTAATTACTAACAGTGCTGTAGTGTACCTTCAGTGGAGGAGAGGTAGGATACCATAGGCCTGTTAAAAATAAATTGTATTCACATGTGCTCATTGTGGGGAATGGTGGTCCCTGCAAATTTGTTCTGTTCCTGAGAGTCTCACCCAGTGTGAGTACGCACGTACTGTCTCAAGACACAGTAAGGATGTAGTCTTTGAACTGGACAGAAAATTTGGGAGGCATTAAAATAAAACCCAAGTGATAGCTCCGAGCTTTGTGAAGTTAACCAAAATCTTCTGAAGGACGTAGCACACAGAGAAATGCAGAGGAGTGTACCTTCAGAAGTCTTCAGGAAATAAATGGTTAGTTTCAAATGATATTTAAACACTGTATTTGACAGGGTGGTTGCTTCCTTCAGCATATGAAGATGACTAGGCTCAAATGTGTCACTGGGAATGCAGAAACTCCTGCATCACTTGCTTAGTTTAAATGGAAGGATTCTGCACAGCATTCAGTTTCTATAAATCAGTGCTGGTATGCAGAAATGATCTGCTTCTTCATGTTTAAACAGCAAGAATTTAGGAACGCTGCCAAATGCTTTCCACATTACTTTATGGAGCCAGGACTGAATATTATCCTGTTTATGTCAAGACACTATGAAGTAGGAGGCTTTAACACATTCCACATCCAGGCATAGTTGGATCCCTCCCCTTCAGGAAGCAGAGAAATGGCTCCATGACTCTGGGCAGGAAAACAAATAGCATACTAAGCTGTATGTGCTTGCCATTTCTGTGAAAGATTGGGGAATTGCTTTATCATAACAAATGGAATACGAAGGGAAAGGGAAAATGGGAGGCACAGGCTTTAGAGGAGAACTCCATCTCGTGATGAGAGAATTTTGCCTGGAACTGTTTTATTTGTTGACACAGAAGGTAGAATTTGTCTTACCTGATCTGCAGAATTACTCACTGGAATTCTCACTCTAAATCAGTAGAGAGAAAACAAGCTCCTTTACAGTGATTTAATGGATCTAGTTTAAGAAGCCCTTACATTTCTGCATCTTTCTAATGACTGTGAAGATAACCAGCTCATAACAAAGACATTCTAGTGGGATTATCTTTATCTTTTATACTACAAATGTACTGCAAAGCCAAGACTGTTATCAGCAATCCCGGTGACATGTTTTTCTCCTGATCCAACTGTGCTTGCTGGCAAACTGTATCCAAAACCCCAAAAAACTACACTACTGTTTCTACACATCACTGTGGATTGGTGTGATACGTCAAAAGAACTAGAAATAAAAATATCACAGGTGTTCTTTGGAGCTCTCTATGATGACTGATGGGCAAGGAACACATTATGTTTACTTCACATAATTGAGTTTCCCAAAAAATTGGTTGAACACAGTCCTGGATCAAACATTTCCATTTTCAATTCAGTCAATTACTGAATCTTTGGAATGACAGCTTTTTTTTTTTTTTTAAAGACATAATCATAGAATCACAGAATGGCTTGGGTTGGAAGGGACTTTAAAGCCCATCCAGTCCCAATCCCCTCTCAGGGCAGTGCCAGCCAGCGGCTCAGGCTGCCCATGGCTCCATCCAACCTGGCCTTGAGTGCCTCCAGGAATGGGGCATCCACAGCTTTTCTGGGCAGCTGTGCCAGGTTGAATGGGGCTCTGGGCAGCCTGAGCTGCTGGCTGACAGCCCTGCGCACAGCAGGGGGATGGGACTGGATGGGCTTTAAGGTCCCTTCCAACCCAAGCCATTCTGTGATTCTGTGAACTACAGCTATTGAAAACAAAAGCCTGACTGAAAGGCTTAAGTAGTAACTGCATTTCTCAGTCTAGTAGCTGCAAAGCTAATAAAAACAATATATACTTGAGTGTTTAAGTCAAGTTGCTTCACAGCTCTGCAGAAGAAAAGTTTAATGACTTAATGATACTTAAATAGTTCATAAAATAACCCAAAGTGCTCTTTAACATATATTAAATGTACATTCTTTACTGGTTTATTAATATATCCTGTATTTTTCGTTATAGTCACTGCTTACAGTGGAAATAAAGCCATAAAACTGCTTTAATCAAAGTTTGGTTATAATGTGAAAAAAGAGACAGATATTGCGGTTTAAGAGCCCTTACAATTTTAAATAACATTAAATACAGGTCAGCAATTAGAAACCAAATCTGGAACCTCTCACAGTGCTGCTATTATGTCTCCAGTTAAGCTTTATTCACCCTTTACCACAAGAGCAAATGAGGTACAAAGCTGTAAAGCCAGCGAGATGCTTTGTTTTAATGTAGTTGGCATAAATTGTACCTGCATCTAAGCAAATACATTTAGTATCACCTATACAAGTCCTAGAGGCAAGAGTAAAATGGCATCCAGTGACAGACTATCAGAAATAGAAGGCTGTCCAAATTCCTGCTAAGCAGCGCACGTTAAGGACTGCGATGCACACCTGCTCTATGGGATTCGGGTGTGATGTTGAATATGCCACACTTGGGCTCAAAGGCAAGAGCTTTCCTATAGAGTTTAGTGTAAACTCTTAAAAAAACCTCAATGTAAAGAACTTCACAGAATCACAGAATCACAAGGTTGGAAACGACCTGCAAGATCATCTAGTCCAACCACCCTCCCATTCCTATTAGTACCACAAGCTTATTTGGTGGAACACAGTCTTGGGCCTTTCCATTTTCAATTCAGTCAACTACTATATCTTTGGAATGCTAGAGCATTTTTTGAAGGCCTAATATTAGGAGCAGTACTAGTTTTCACTAATGTTTAGCTAGTGAGTGCACAATGCTATTGCCAAATAGGTCAGTTTCAGATGACAACCTGGTGGCCATTGACTTTAGTGGAGGAGGACAGCTACGAAATAGTTTAATCCACACTTTCTTTCTACCCATGCTCTTCCATTCACTGTTCATGCTGCTCTGTCACACTCCCCACAAAAGGAATGCCTTCTGATGACACCAGATACTACTTATACTAAATTAGGGCTGATCACCGTCCACCCAATGGCTCTTGCTCTCTGTCAAGGCAGAATCTAATGTGCAGCCTACCAAGAGGCACAGCCTGGTCAAAGGGTTTTCAGCCTGAGAGCTTGCTGTGCCAGCAATGGCAGGAGTACCCACAAATAAAGTGCTGGAGGAGTGGGAGACATAAAATGAGAGCCAGTAGAGACTGCAGCGAGCTGCTAGGAGGCGAGGTTTTCCTTGCAAAAGTCTTCTTGGTCATTTTCCCATTGCTTTCAGATACTGCAGGAATTGAGAATCCACAGTTCGGAAGCTCTTAGAACTGGAAAGGCAAAAAGGAAGCTATGGGATGAGGCAGGAGATTGGGCAGTTAGCTCACTACCCAGCCAGCCTGCTGACACACTGCTGGGTTGGTATACTGAAAAGAAGTGACACTGTTTGCTCATGGGACAGTTGTCAGTTCTGTGCCGACCACCTGGCCAGACAGATGAATGAGACTGGTGAAACTCGGCAACCTGAATTTCTTGTTACAAATCAACGCAGACATTGAGAAGGAAAACAGCCAGGAACTGATGGAAATACCCCAGTCAACTGGCACTATTTATTCAGTTCCATTGAGAGGGTTAGATATGTAAAGGAACAGAAGTGGGAATTGTTACAAGACGATTAGCAGGAAAAGATGGTCACATTGTTGAGCAATGCTCCTGGAAACACCGACCCCAGCAAAAGCTAGTAGGATTTTCCCTGCAAAGTCTCCAGATTCTGAAAGACAGTGAATGTCACACACTTCTGATCTGATCACGGAGTTGTTAAGGTTGGAAAAGACCTCTGAGATCACTGAGTCCAACCATCAGCCCATCCCAGCATGCCCGCTAACCATGTCCATCAGCGCTACATCTGCGGTACAAGCTCCAGGCAGAGTGGGCAAAGGGGAAATAGTTTTTACTCAACATCAAAAACAGTGCCAAAAGCTTCAAGAAACTATTTTGAAAGTGGTTGTAATTACTAAAGTTAAATCAAGTTCATGTACTCATTGTTGCTGAAACTTCAATGATTGACTGGTGGTGGCAGCCACACTGCTTGTGACAGGACAAAGAAGAGGTGCTAATGGGTCCTTCACATCCCAGGGAAGCCCTGCCCAGTTATAACCCCGTCTGTACTTGCTTGGCATCTGCAGTGATGCCTCACTGAGTAAGCAGGGATGGAAAAATTGTGCAAAGCTCCAGAAAGTTGAGGCTAGATGAGCATTAAAACAAAGGACAAGAAAGGGAGATCTTCATAGGCTCAATCTCACACCTCATCACTGGCACAACTTGTGGCTTCTGGATCCTGATGTGGGCTGTGGTAAACTGGTAGTGCTAGGACAGAGGGTAGTTCAGCTTTGCACAGTTCTGATGTTTCCATTTAATTTTATATATATATTTGCAAACATTTTGGTGGCAGACTGGGCTCTCTTGTTATCACTTTGTTTTGAGTTCAGTGTCGCCTTGTCTGAAAGTTGAATGTCCTTGAACTCAACTTCTTTCTGCTCTTAGCAGCACAGTGTTGTCCAATGTTTCAGAGATGGCCAAAGACAAGTCACAAAATTCCTACGAACTGAGAAAACGTATGGAAAAGTCACATGTAACTACACAGAGTTAAATGCTGAAACTGAAATCTTAGAACGTCTGGTTTTGTTTGTTTATGTTGAAGGGCAAAGATTTCCTGCCAAATTTCGTGTGAGATTTTGAAGAGGAGATCCTGTTCTTCCTCACAAAAGATCAATGCTAACGGGACTCAGCATGTTAATGCGTCTTGAAAGAGGTTCAGGTCTGTTCTTACTGCTCCGTGCTATCATCACATATGGAAACAGTTTTAGACACTGACTGAAAACATCATATTTGCTCAGTGGGGCACCCTGGAAAGAACAGGCACCTGCAAAGCCACTTGCTGCACAACTACCTCCTATGGACTACACAACAGAATTTTGATTGTTTTGACACAAATTCTTTTGTCAATAGCAAAAACAGACACATACTACATTTTTTAACTATTTAGTAGCCCCAGTATTTTTCTAAGCCATGTAGTAAGTGAAGATGTTAAGTGGACTTTTAATTACAGAAGCACAGCACAGCTGAAGCTGGCAGGGCCCTCTGGGTGCCTCCACTCCATCCCCTGCCCCAGCAGGGACACCCAGAGCAGGGTGCCCAGGGCCACATCCAAGCAGCTCTGGGAGATCCCCAAGGAGGAGACCCACAGCCTCTGTGGGCCTGTGCCAGTGCTCCATCACTGCACAGCACAGAAGGGCTCCTGGTGTTCAGAGGGAACCTCCTGTGCTCCAGTTTGTGCCCATGGCTGCTGGTCCTGGCACTCGGGCACCACTGACAGAGCCTGGCTCTGGCTTCTGGCACCCTCCCTTCAGAGATTTATGGACATTGATGAGATCCCCCTGAGTCTCCTTCACTTCTCCAGCTGTGCAGCCCCAGCTCTCTCAGCCTCTCCTCACAGGAGAGGTTGTCCAGGCCCTTCATGATCCTTATGGCCCTTTGCTGAACTCTCTCCAGTACATCCACATCTCTCTTGTACTGGCCGAGCCCTAGATACAGCTGGGGGAGAAGTTGCTTATTCCTCTCCAACTGTGATACCCTCAGCAGGCATGAAGTTAACTTTTCTTTTTCCTACAGCATTTTTTTGGATCGTGTACAATCCTTTTTGTGTGTCTGGCCATCATCTTCTCATCAGCAGCCAAGCCATGCAAAGGGAATGCATCTCTCCTTCTCACAGTACAAGGCATATTCATGCCACACTCTCAGGTGAAGAGCTGTTATCACTTTCAATGTGCCAGGAGTCAATGTGCTGACGTCCGCAAGGCAGAAAGTCAACTGGGCTTCACTGCAGTAGCAACAGACAGGAATGAGAGCAGATGAGGACAGCAATGCCACCATCTGGGGCTATTCTGACTGACAGACTTTGACTCCTATTATGCCCTCTCCTGTTTCGAAATCTCTAACCCTGGTGTTATGTCTCCTGCTCCAGAAGGACCATCAGTACTATCATTGCAGTGCCCACGTTCTTTTCATAGAATCATAGAACCACAGAATGTTTTGGGTTGGAAGGGACTTTCAGAGATCATCCAGTTCCAACCCTGCTGCCCTGGGCAGGGCTGCCACCCACCAGATAAGAGTAAATGTTCATGTTTACCTTCCTTCTGAAGCCTGTGTGGCTGTTTGTGTGACCTACGCCTTCCTCACCACCTGCATGAACACTATAGTTTCCACTCCATTGAAAGCCAGGTGGGTAGGTTCTCTGAAGGGCACAGCTTTTTCCCCTGCAGAGACACCAGCTAAGAGAGAAATGAAAACCAAGTTTTCTAAAATCAAGAGCAGGGGAAGGCCAGCATTGTCTGTATGCCCTCTGGCACAGCAGGATGTAGCACTAAAAGCTTGCTGCTGAAGTTCAGCAGCCCTGGGGAAGAGAAGCTTTTTGTTTGAGTCCATGTGGGTGAAGTGTGTGGCTTACATCTGTACCAAAAGACACAGCACTGTGCCCTCCCCCAGTAATACAATAAATAAAAACAGCTTACGTTTGTTATTTGACAGTTATAATTGAAAGAAAAGGACCAGGCAATAGGGATCCTTTTTTTTTCTGATTTAGAAGACAAAATAAATAGATACGGTTACACCAGCCATGCAAGACAGGAAGGTAAGAGAGATGCTTCTCTTTCTTCCCCAGCTTTCTCTTCAGCTTGTATGTTCTCTTGTATGTATGAAATGTATGACATTTTCTAAGTCATGACCAGTCTGACCTGGGGCTGCAAGGTAACAGGGCATCAAGTTAAACCCAAATAACCCTCTAGGTAGTTTATTTAGAAAAAACAGCAAGGGAAAGTTTGCAAAATGGGTTCATATACCCAATATCTACCCATAAGCAACACTGAAACCACAGCTCCTTGGGAAGAGAAGATGGGGACAAGAATTTACCACAGGAGTTAAAACATACCTTGCTCCAAAATTTGGTCATCTTTGGAGTTCCTCACTTTTGTTTGAATAAGATGTGTCCTGAAGGGCTGGGCATTCACCGAGCAGATCCTCAGCTTGCAGACTTCTGAGCTCCACTGATGTTAAGCACAATTCATGCTGTGGGCCCAGGCCCTGTTGTAGCCATTATGGCTCATCAGGAACAGAGCTGAACGCTGATTACTTGAGCGCTCTCAAGTTTCTGCCACCATATGAATTACTCTCTGTGGCAGCAGAGCAAGTTCTGGCCAAAAAGCCTAGAGCCCAGGGTAATGTGGAACAGCATAGGCCAGCAAAGTTTCACACACCTTCTCCAGCTGGAATGAAATCCTGGCAGTAGACTCACTCATCTTGCATGCCTTCCAAGAGGAAACAAGCATCTAATTTCCAGGAAAGAAAGTAGGAGGGCTTAAAGATTAGTAACGTTTCAGCAGTAAAGTGAGTCTTTTTAGTGAGATGTGAAATATGTTTGAAAACGTGCTTTAAAAAAATTGCTGCATAGAGGGGAACCAACAACAGGCTGTACAGCCAGGAAAGCCGGAGTGGCATCATTTCAGACAACACAGCTGCAGAATGCTTGAACACCATTTACAGGATGTATAAAAAAAAAGAATTTTCCCTGAAGAATTTGCCTTCATGGAGGCAGCTCCTCAGACTCAGATTAATGTTATGAATGGCACTTACCTTTTTTGTTCTGTTTTCTTTTTTTTGCATTCTCTCCCAGTAAGGCGTACAGCTCTTCTCTGTGTAGCAGTGTGCTTTATGGTGGTGAACACCACAACCTCCCACCGAGAGGGGAGCAGCAAAGGGCAAAATGGGGGCAAGGCTGAGTGCTGCTGACTGCTGTATTTCATCACAAAGACCAACAGCAGCCCTGTGTCAATAGGAGATACAGGAACACTCAGCCTGCAGAGCAAGAGTATTGCCAATAGAGTGTTAAAAAGCAAAATGGATTTAAGAGGAACCCAGAGATGACTCTTCATTTAAGACAGATCTAGCAAAAAAAGTTTTGCTTTTCTTTTTCCATCCTGACACTTTCCTTTTAAAAGGATGTTTGGTCAATCCATGTTTTTTTAATACTTCTTTATTCTTAAAAGAAACTGCCAAATATGACAACAGGACAATAAGTGTTGTTCAGCAATATCAGTTTCTGATCTAGAGAGGAAATTAATAAAAACATCATCGGCATCTTAAAAAATAAATATGACTAAACGTATGGAAAACAGGAAAATCAAATTCATGTTCAACAACACAGACAGGTACAAATGCTGAAATGCTGCTGCACAAGGTAGAGGTAGAGGTAAAACAGACTTCTCAACCCCAGACCAGTTTTAGATCTGCTCCCCCACTCCCCTGCACACACTCCTGAAAGTTGTTGCCAGTAATTTCATTTGAATCCTCCTCAGCCTCATCAGACTGCAAGCAGGTCCGTGTGCTCTTTCTGATGCTCCGAGCTGGAAAACTATTTCAGCTTTTGTAGAAATAAGTTGCTAAGCAACCTAGCCCCCGGGTTTTGCAACTGGTGCAGCAAGGAAAGTGGCAGGAAGCCATGCTTTAGCTACAACAAAACAACAGAACGCTCTCCAGATGATGTCTGCTAGGATAAGAGGGTGGTAGAGCCCTTGGTAGAAATTGCAAGTCCATCAGATGCTTGGCGATGTGACCACAGAAGGCACAGTGTCGTGCCTGGAGCTCTTCTGCTGAAGTGAGCATTGTCAGCAGGAACATCCCAAACACACAGGTGGGGAGAGCCAACTGCCTTACACTGGAAACTGACACGGTAAGACACCAACCGAGAACCCTCGGTACAAAGCAGCAAGTATCCTGACATCATGATGTATAAAAACTAAAAACTGCACTGCACACGGATTCTCCAAACAAACTCAAGACAACTGAAGTCAGATCGTACAAACCGTTAAAAAAATACCTTCTTGTGTATTTTGAGAATAAATGGAAAGAGTCTTCGTGCAAATGTTCAACCTTGATCAAGCAGAGGACATAAATTGTTGTAAACACATGAGTTCCTTTCTCATCCGCAATCTGCGCCCGGCATTACCTATCTTCTGCAGAATGATTAGGGTTAAGAAATCTGCTTCTTCTGTAAATGTCACCCTTCAAGTTCCACTGATGTATCAAGACACTACTGGCGTCATATCCCACAGCTGTTAATACAACAACATATCATAACACGGTGAGTAGTGGTGAAATAGAACAACGTAATATATAAAACTAATTTGCACTTTTTAATTTCTGTTTAAGGCAGGCTATGTGCCCAGAGGGGGATGTACCAGGTCCAAAATTTAATTTCATTTTCCAATACTCATATCACTCGACATTTACTCCTTATAAGCCAGGTTAATATCTGGTTTTAAGCTACAAAAACCCATAGCATATTGCTAACTTGTGTGATTAGCAGTTGTAACACAATTACAAGGTAGATCTTTTCTTGCATCCAAGCCTGGGGCCCCCAGCACAAGTAAGACGTGGAACTCTTGGAGGGGGTCCAGAGGAGGGTCACTAAGATGATCAGAGGGCTGGAGCACCTCTCCTATGAAGTAAAGTTGAGGAAACTGGGCTTGTTCAGCTTGGAGAAGAGAAGGCTGCAGGGAGACCTCATTGGTGCCTACCCATATTTGATGGGAGCATATAAACAGGAGGGGGTATGACTGTTTACGAGGGTGGATAGGGGTAGCAAAAGGGGGAATGGTCTTAAACTGGGACAGGGGAGGTTTAGGTTAGATATTAGGAGGAAGTTTTTCACACAGAGGGTGGTGATGCACTGGAACAGGAGGTTGTCCAAGGAGGTTGTGGATGCCCCATCCCTGGAGGCATTCAAGGCCAGGCTGGATGTGGCTCTGGGCAGCCTGGTCTGGTGGTTGGTGACCCTGCACACAGCAGGGGGTTGAAACTGGATGAGCATTGTGGTCCTTTTCAACCCAGGCCATTCTATGATTCTATGATTCTACTGTTGTTGTTTGTAATTGCTGAAGTCTTGTTATACACTTATTCATTATTTTAGCTACTTCTCTGCATGGAGTTTTGACATCTGTGGGCCCTTTGTTAACCTGGCCTCACAAACTACATCAGCCACTTCAAAAAGCTGTTTTGTGCTCTTTATGGGAAGGGCACTGTTAGCACTGACTTGGCTAGTCTTGTCCCCATCCCTTTGGGTTTACAGACCAAGATCCCTGTGGTCTTTTTTGGGCAGAAGCGTATCAGTTGGTGTGAGAGAGATCAGTGTGGAAAATGGTAGCTAGGACATAGATGGATTCCCATGGGAGAAGAAGAAGAAGGAATGAAGTACAAAAGCTAGAGCAATCTCCTCCCTCCTACCTTAATAATCTTGTCTGTCCCCGAGGTCAGCAGCCATCCTCTAGTGGCATCAAAGTGTACATGAACTATGTTGTGCTTACTGTCGTGGAAAGTAGCTGTGGGCGCCCGCCTTGAAGAAAGAGATCCCAAATCAGAAAAAAACCACAGCTGCCAGGTATCAAGGAAACAAGCATTTGAAGCAAGCGCTGACCTATTATGCACTGATGGGACTTCTGCTAATAGGACCCAGGACCACCCAATGGCTGCTGGCTCCCCAACCCTGCAGCCACTCGGGCCACTCAGGCCCTCCCAGTTACAGGCATTTTGTCCCACTGCAGCTCTGGGCTGCTCGGCGCCCACACTTACTCCTCATCCGTTATGGACTCGTGGCAGCTATCGCAGACCCTCACTTCAAACTCGAACCCCATCAGCGGGATGGAGGAGCGCTTGGAGCTGCACTTGCCGCAGACGGCCTTCCCGCATTTGCGGCAGTGGTGCTGTGGGAGACAACACATGAAAGGACATCTTCAGCCATGAGCCTGGGGACGGGTCGCTGCTCTGCTCCCAGCTCTCCCATCTCACTTTTGCAGGGCTCAGCTGAGGCTGCAGCAAAAAGGAAAGCTATTCTTCCAATGGGAGATGAAGGAAAATGGTCATCTTCGTGTACACCCACTTTCTCCTTGCTATGTCCATCTTTTGAGTCTCTCTTTGGGGGAGTAGGGGACTACACCCCCAGTGAGCAATAGGTATTGTATTAAAATACGTCAGCTCAAAGTAGGACAGGGTACACTGGTATAACTCCAGAGCCTCACCTCAGCCTCTTTGTCAAAGTACAAATACACACTGCCTGATCATCTCAGTCAACCCTGCTGGCCATTTTCAGCCACTGTTCAGCACCATCGTTCCTGCATTCTGATACTACCTGTATTCTGTTTTCTCACACGCTGACTGCATAGGACCAAAGGGCTGCCATGCCTGTCATAGGAGAGACAGGCCCTGTGGTGACAAGCCACCACCAAATAAAGGGGAAAGGGCAGCTTAACTGTGACCCAGCCACCTGTTTCAGGGCCCAAGAGGTCACCCTTTCCTGCCTTTTCATGCCCCTCTCCCAGACCATAATCCACAGCCCCCTCCTGTTGGGCAGGGATGCGCAGCAGTATTCCAAGCAGAACAGTAAGCCTTTTCCAACACAGCTTAAACAGTTACAGATGTTTACCCAAGCCCATTAAAAACAGCTTTCGTTCCAGCACGATCTCCAAGACTTAGCTGCAAATTTTTTTCTACAACAGATTCATTTGAAAATAAGCAAAATCCCACATGGCTAAAGCTACAGACAGCCCCAAAACAATTTATTCAGCTCAGACTCATACACTTTTTTTACATTTGCTATTGGGACAGGCTGTCAAAATTAAGAAGAAAAAAAAAGACAAAAACGTTCTGCTTCCGATGAGCATGAATCATTAAGGGGAGCTCACTGTCCTGTTATTGCTAGGACAAAGAGAAAGTTCTCAAGCCTTTATAGGAAAAAAAGACTACCATAACATACTATGAGAGAGAAGGAGCCTAACTGTATCATATTAACACAGCAAAGGGTCCATACAAACCTGCCTGAGGCCTATTTTCTTACTGTCCCACATTTGCTTGAAGTTCCAGAAGAAAGGCTGGTCACATTTTTGACAGGAGTCGCTGTCCAGCCACTCAGGGGTCTGCAACACACACAGGTGGGGGAGATGAGAAACAACTTCCACCAGAACCCAGGGACAGGATAAGGAAGATGTGATGGAGTGCAGTAATGTGGTCAGCTCAACTTGATTACAACTCCCCACTGATCATTTTACCCGATCAAGATAAAGGTATGCAGGAGGAACACTTCTCATCCACCACATGAAGCAGAGTCTGATTGTAAGTCCATAAAAATAACCCAAGAACAAATAAGCCCCTCCAGCCTCTTCAAGTTTGGAACTTAGTATCTACAAATGCATATCTTGTCTGGACAGCATTAACCATCTGCACTGGAGGCAATTAGTACTTCCAGTATCCAAGCTACTCCAAGAGGCACTCCTGCTGTTGAGGTATCTGTGCTGCAAATCTGACAAGGCAGACAAGATGAGGATCTGAAGAAGCTTGAAACCCAAAACACCTTTTTTCCCTGCTTTCACATACAGACGATGAAAGGAAAGCTTTCTGTTTCCTAATTCCACGTGTAAATTTGCACTCATGCTGTGGATGAAGTGGGTAAAAAGATTTAAAGAATATAAAGAAAATATTAAAGGCCTTTCTCCCTCCTGCAGCCAGGTTTTGCTGTGAAGAGTAGCAAGGATGGATTCCCTGCAGGGAAGCACTCTCACCAGACACTGAAGGAGCTCAGGAAATGCCTGAAATGGCAGGAGGGCTTGTGGAGGAAGAGAATGACCTCCTCCCCTACAGTTGGGCCCCCTGACACGTGCCTGCTGGTGGACATTCAGTGCTTCTCCCCACAGAGCTCAGGAAACACAGCTTTGGATGCGAGACTCCAAGAGTCATGGTTCCTGCATTTCCAGATGGCCACCAAAATGATCCAAGGGATGGAACATCTCCCCTACAAGGAGAGGCTGAGAGAGCTGGGGCTGTTCAGCATGGAGAAGAGAAGGCTCCAGGGAGAGCTGAGGGCGACCTTTTGGTGTTAAAGGGGGACTGTAAGAAGGAAGGGGACAGACTCTTTAATAGGGTCTCTTGTGATACAGCAAGGGAAAATGGGGAAATTCAGACTGTATATAAAAAAGAAGTTTTTTACAATAAGGGTGGTGAGGCAGTGGCACAGGTTGCCCAGAGAGGTGGTGGATGCCCCATCCCTGGAGGCACCCAAGGTCAGGCTGGAGGGGCTCTGAGCACCTATGAAGCTGTAGGTGTCCCTGTTCAGCGCAGTGGGGAGTTGGACCAGATGGCCTTTAAGGGTCCGTTCCAACTCAAAAATTCTGTGGTTCTATGATTTGACCCTTCTCCAACTGTCTGTCCATCCATCTGTCCTATTTGGGCTTAGCAGGAGTTCTTGGACTTCTTCTCACCTCACCAGCAGTACTAGATCCCAAGGACAAGGGTTCAGCCCAAAGTGGTGCTGGTGAGCAGGTCTGTCCCATCCCCAGAGAGGGACAAGCCTCCCAACGCTGCCTCAGCATGCTCCTACCCAACCCCAACTGAGCAAAATTAAACAAATACCAAGTCAAGTTCAAAGTGAGGAAGCCCCATTAATAAACTGCATTTGGCTTCTTCCACACTATCATTTAAAAAGGCAAGAAATGCAGCTGAGATTGAGAATTAAAAATACTATGAAAGCCAGACAAAGATACGGGAAGGCAGATGGAGACCCTAAAGATCCCATGGCAGTTTTGACCCCCAGCAATAAACTCAGTCAACTCTGAGCTTCAGCTTGTTCTGTCAGTTACTTTGAATGCTGTTCATAGTGTAGGGGCAAATCCCTGTCTTTTGTATCCACAACAGTCTTTTAGATTAATGTCTACAGATCTGCATCTGAACACTGCTCATGAAGATGTTTTGCTTGTGACAAGGAACTGCTTTGTAGTCAAATAGAAACACAGCTTCCAGCATTTTTCAGATGTTTTCTTCTCACAGCTTTTTAAAAATAGATAAAAATAAGGAATCAAGCAACAAAATGGCATAATTCACTCCAGTGCAATCGCAGAGACGTGGGAAAATCTCATATCAAACTGAAGACAGCACACATCCAGTGGGGGGGGGAAAAACACTTATATAAGGGGAAAAATAGCAAAGCCAACATCCAAGTATCTGATAATCACATCTCAAGGGTTTATGTTTTAGAGGTGGTTTAACACAGTGGTTGCCCTGCTGCGCTATGGATAACAAGAATGAGCCCACATTGCCGTAGTCAGAGAGCACCACACACATCAGCACCTGCTGCTAAGCCCTCCTGTAGCTCATTATACTTCCCCTCCACTTTTTAACCAGCCTTCTCACATTATTGCTGTCTGTTTTGCAACCAACCAGTCTTAACCCTTAGTGCAGTCTTTTGAAGGCTGCCAATAAGTAAGTTTTCCATTTCTGGATGTTCAGGCTGCAGCAAAAAGGAAACATCTGTTGGGAGGGAGAAACCCACTCTGCTTTTGTTTCACTTTTGGAGCTGATGATATAATCGGCCATTAGATTAGCAATTAAAGAGAGCCAAATGGAATGCTAATTCACAGGAAAAAAAAAGGGAGTAAGAGTAGCTCAGTTCCTGCTTAGGTCTGTTTGAGTAGGTTTTTAAATCCAATTTTCCACTTATCTTTTTTCCTTGCTCAAGGGAGACGTGCACAACCCAGGGAGACCAAAACCTTCGTGGAGAAGCAGCAAAGCTGATTACAGATTGTGTTGCCAAAAGCAGCTGGGAAAAACTTGCTGCCCTTATCCTTCCTTACTTTTCTCTAATCTTAATTACAGTGGTCTTCCCCACTACGCACTAGAAGGAGCAGGTAAAGGGATGTACCCAGACGTGTGTTTCCAATGCATCTCTCCCAGCCACAGCCCCACACTTGGCTGGCAGTAACCTTGCCCCAAGTGACCCACCAGGGGTATTCAGGGCCTCAGCACCCACCCACAGAAACAGGGCAGAGCATTAGGAAAAGCTGTTACCCCATGCAGAGATTTTACCAGGATTTGCCATGTTCAGGGCTAGGGCTGGAGCCTGACTCTCTCGCTCGTCCTGCTGAGTCAGGTCTTCAAAACTGCTGAGAGGAGGCTCTTCCCACAGCACAAAGACTTGGGGTATATTTTGCACTTGCTTGCATCCATTGGCCACACAGCACCAAAGTGGTTGGGAATGTGTAAGTGAAATCTTGCTGTCTGTATCAGCAACGCTGTCATCTACCCCCTTCCATATGGCTATACCAAAGGGTAGCATGGCCCAGTAGTAGCAGGTGAGAGTGAAGCCACAAATAAATGTCTTTTCAGCAAGAATAAAGGAGAAACCAACACTGGGTTGCACATTTCCAGAGATAACAAAGAACTTCCTAGTTTCGTTTTCTTAACAAAAATCCCAATAATTATCAAACCATCCATTTACCTCTGAAATGACAGCATTTCTCATGATGTCCTTAAAAATAAAGCAGAACATCTCACATCCTTAGAGGACACCTTCAGAGCAGTAATGTAAAGGATAGAAGCCATTTTACAGCCTACTTAATACACATTTTCTGCCAGATAATTTCCCCTGTACCATATTATCAAAGGCATGGCATAATTGCTGTGTAAGAACTGGAGCATATCCAACAACATTTTTAATGGCTGAAAAGTTCTTGTTCTAACTGAAAGTTGCACACGTTAGAAAGGCCACTCACTTCCCAAGACTGCTTCGGACAGAATCAGCAAGAACTGTGCCCCTACCTCCTGTCTTTCAACATCCATGTTCCAGACCACTATTCCCCCGTCGGCACCACAAGAGATGAGCTGCCGAGTGTGGTGAGCGTAGGAGAGAGACTGAACTTTATCGCTGGAAAAGAAACAACACAGTTACTAATCAACCATTTAAAGCCAGCACAAAAGTAAGGACAAAACATAAAGAATCAAGAAACAATAAAGAATCAAGAACCATGGAATCGTGGAATGGCTTGGGTTGGAAGGGACCTTAAAGCCCATCCAGTCCCTACCCCCTGCCATGGGCAGTGCCAGCCAGTAGCTTAGGCTGCCCAGGGCCCCATCCAAACTGGCCTTGAGTGCCTCCAGAGATGGGGTACCCACAGCTTCTCTGGGCAATGTAAATCATTCAGTTGCCTGCATGTTTTCCCCCCCCATTCTCAATGCACTTTCGGTATTTATCAGAAGCAAATTGGAGTCTTTGCTGTCCAGTTGGAACCAAAATCAGAGTGCTGCTCACTTGGGCAAGATCCACAAAATCAAGGACCTGTTCTGATAACTGGTTGCGCTGCTCCTGAAACTGCAAGTTGAGCTGGGAAGGCAAAACAGACCTGAAGCTTCAGGGCCTTTCCCAAAGCACATCTGAGTGCATAAATGTAGCCTTAGTAAGGTACATTCTCTTCAGTATGTTAATAACAACACTTGATTTTGGTAAATCTCTGCAACATCTAGACATGAAGCGCTAAAGAACCACTGAATCTTTTCTTTTAGCACTAATAAGCATTATAAAAATAATACAGGAATTGGTAAATTGTTTCTAAGCCTTCCCAAGGTAAGATGATTTAGTTTATTTTCCTTCTTTTAAACAAAAAGCTGCAAGTGAAAAACAATACAGCTTAAACCCAACCTGCTGACTCTAATGTCACCAATAATTGGAACATTTCTTGGTCCCCACTGCCATCAGGCCTCTATACTCTACTGAGCCAGCCAACAGCCATGCTATGGATTAAGATCCAGATGCTAACTTCATACTAAAAGATCTAAAAATTTCCACTGTAGTAAGTGTAGCAGGGGTGCATTAGCTAGCATCAGTGTTACGGTGTGAGGATGATCTGGGGATTTCACAAAAGCTCTGCAGCACTCTGAAATCCCAGTGGCCCAACAAAAATGTCCAGCAGAGTGCAGCATCACTCAAGAGAAATGTATGAATACATAAGAAGCTGTAAACACTGTCAGACCAAAACAGCCATGGAATTTTGCCTCTTCAAATCAGAGCCTGGCATGCTATTCCCTCATACATGCTCTGTCAATGCACCGAAAACCTGTTGTAAGTATTTAAAAGGCTTGGGAGTCATCACAGCTAGTGACACTCTAATTTACTCAATGTCCAGAAGAAGATTACTCTTCTTCAAATACATCTATTGTACTAAGCAAATGTGTGGTCTGTATGTGCAAAGATGAAGCCTCTTTGCATTAAGGAGATGCTGCAGGCACATATGGGTAAAAAACATTCCTTATATTTCAGGCTGCAGGTAAAGTGAGATGGAAAACACATGGTTAACATGCAGCTAAACGGGACTAATTGTCCAAACCTGATGCTCCCTCTAGGGGAAGGAAGGAAAGAAAAAAACCTGACGCCTAAAAAAGAAGGAATTTTCCCTCCAGCTGTTCTCACTTGTGGACCCCTCCTTTCCAACTGAGGTGCACACATAACACATAACACACTCACCTAACACACTCTGGACCATAGGTAACTGTGCTTTCTTTCACTACCTTTTGAAGACTATCACATCAGCCTGTGGTCTGGATGCTGAAAAACTTGCTGTAAGCCATTTATTCTCACTGTATAAAGACCAAGGGGGATCACACATACAAGCTAAAGCCATGTGAAGACTGTAACCTCTGGGCTGTTTTTGCTTCCACATGGGACAGGAGGAAGGGCTTTGAACGTACTTATGTCCTTGCAGCTCGATGGCTGTTCCTTTTCTTCCTCCAATATCCCACATTATAATGGAATGGTCAGAACTGCCTGAGAACAAAACTCTCTGTATTGGGTCCCAACAGAGAGCAGTGACACCACCTGAAATAGGAGATTCATAGAACAATTAATTACAGAATGTAGCTTAACATATTGATACATACTTAAACATTATTTAAAAAAAAAAAAAAGAGTGATGAAAAATGTGGGTCTCTCTAGCAAGGGCCATGCAGCCACTGTACTGGCCATTTGGTAAGCAGCAGCCTAGAAATCCTATTGAAGCCATGCCCTGCCCTTCTGTAGCCTCGTGTGGGCAAAATGGGCAGCAGAAAGCCACCATATGATGGTCACAGTGTGATTGCACAGCTTTTCATCTCCATCGTCCCCTGGAGAGAGATTTTATTATAGAAGAGAAGCAAGTGGGGAATATTATCAGCAACCTGATGTAGAGGGAGGTGTCCCTGCCTATAGCAGGGAGTTGGAACCAGATGATCTTAAAGGTCCCTTCCAACCCAAATCATTCTATGATTCTATGATTATGGGCATCTTCACAGTGCCTTAGCACATGGATTGAACTACCTTGTGCTTGAACTATAAACACGCAAAGAGGAGGGATTTAAAGAGAAGATGCTGAGCAATGTCTACCATTTTTTCCATTACATGGCAAGCTCACATCCCAGGGCTGCTGTTTTTAAAGTGTGATGGAGCACAAGTCCAAGTAGTGAAACAATTAGCCAGCATCCCCAATAAGCACATCCAAGATACACCTAACTCACTTGGGCAATAGTATCCACCCATGTGGGTCTTTCCTTAGGAAGCATCTTTCCCCCCAGAGTTACTGCGACTTTTATCCTCACTCTGCGTTAATGAGCTACTGATCTATTGGCATTTACTATCTATGGCATTTACTACACTTTTCAAAAGTTTGATCCCTTTCTTGTTTTCCTCAATAAAGAACAAGCTTTCCTGACTGATAGTGACAGTTTAATCTCCCTTTCACGGTCCTGTTTCACAGGATATAAGTTATAGGATATATAGTTATAGGATTCAGCTTGATGCTGAGCACAGGTGAAGAACCAAGTAGGGTCTCCTCCTCAAGCCTTACCTGTGTGCCCCTTAAATGTCGTCACCAGGCTGCAGGACTCTTGCTCTAATTTGAGTATGGTTACTTGCCCAGAATGATCACCAACAAACACGTGCCGGGTTTCCACATCAAATCTGACGTATAAATGCTGAGGAACACACATTGTTTACACAAGCTATGCATTACTCTTAATGGCTTGTTAATTCTTTTAACATGAGCGTTCTACAACCTTGTGAATAGCACTCTAGTCTCAAGGAGATAAACAGCATATTTTTAGCTATTAAAGTCATAGTTGTTCATATCAATAATGCAGTCTCCCTGAGTTAACCCAAACAGCAAAGAAAAAATAAAAAAACAAAGTTACAAAACCTTGCAATAAACCTTTTGCCATCAATGAGAAGTCTCATCTCCCCAGTATCTCCAGCTTAAGTTGGACGGTGTTCATTCTTCCTCTTTCCCTGTGTTGAAAACAACTGTTTTCAACCTCTTCATTATATTTAAGTATACGAACAAAACTCCCATCTTTTCTCAGAACACTGCCCAATGTCACAGAAGTCCTCCAGAAGAATATGTCTTGTCTAGTGGTTGGCAACCCTGCACACAGCAGAGGGGTTGAAGCTAGACGATCATTATGGCCCTTTTCAATCCAGGCCATTCTATGATTCTATGAGTATCTCCTTAATTTTTTTTTAATACCAATTTGGTGGCAACCTGGTCATAATGCAAGAACTAATCTACCTTTCATGGCATATTTGGCAAATGTTGGCTACATCAGATGTACCATACACCATATTCTAAATGGAGTAACATCCACCTACAGGAACCATCTACCTCAACAGATTCTGACTTCATTTGATTTAATTGCACATTTAGATTGCTTATTGCTTATTTAAGGAAAAGTTGCTTCAACTGATCAAGTGCACACATGAACTGTTGGGGAAAAAACCCACATCCCAGGTTCTGCTAAGTTTTTCTGCATTATTTGTCAAAGGTTGTCCTTTCCCCTGCCCTCCACCAGCAGGATCTGATGACCCAAATTAAAAAGTCCTCCATAATTTGGAACCTCTTGCAGCAGTCTGCCTCTCTAGGGAGCTTTAGGAAAGGCAGAACAAACTCCTGCATTGCATTTTCTAAGCTCTTCAGAAAATTAACTAAAAATGGAGTTCACCCTGTAGACCATTTAGATCAGTTTGCCCTTCATTCAGCCTGAGATTACAATGCAAGGCCATATACTTCACTTATTTAATTCTGAGGCAGTCTCATTTCCTGCAAAGTAGCACAACACATATCATCTACACCACATATGCTACGGACCACTAAAAAGTCTGTTTACGCTAACCCTTGCTTCCAGCCTAACAGCTCATACTTTTCCACATCCCTTTTCATTTGCAATAAAGCTGAATTAATATTTCTTTTATTGCTAGGCAGCTGAGGCAGCTCTAGGTGAATAAGGCACTTGAGTGCCATTTCTGGAGCCATTTATTCTTTAGTTAGCTCAAATTCCCAGTGCACAGTGGGCTGCTCCAAAGTGAAGGACGAGTGCTGATTATTTGATATTAAAGCCATTTAATTCTTCCCATCGTGCACAAATGCACACTGACCTGATCACTGACCTACTTTGTTACCATCATTTCTCAGGAAAAAAAAGAACATGCTGCATGTTTAAAACGAAGGCCCTGTCCTGATTTATGGCAGACCACAACAGGTTGCAGATTGCCCATTGTTTCGCTTAGACCTAAATATGCCAGCCCGCATTACAGAGACGAAGCAAGGAGAGCAGACAGTTGTTTTGTGTGTTTTTGTTTGTTGGTTTTTTTTTACGTTGGCTTTAGAGAACAGTTTCTCACAAAACACTGAACCTACGCAGGGCACAAATGTTGGCAGACAGTTAGAAATAAAACCAAACAAACCAAAAGCAAACAAAGAAGTTGTTTAAGGGCCAAAGGGCAGCGCCAACACGGAGGGCTCAGCAAAGGATACTGCAGGCCACAGGCCCCCGCGCTGGTGCGGTAGCCTCCCAGCCGCTGGCCGCTCTCTGAACAGTGCCAGGTGAAGTGCTTGTCTTGGCCGGTGCTCAGCACCCACTCCATCTCCAGGACAAACAGAATCATGATGACCCTGCTTTGATGAGCTGAAAATTAAGCAGACAGACAAGTAGTCACATGGCAAAGAACACACGGGCAGCGGACCATTGGAAATGCCATCCCCTTGCAGCCAGCTCTGCCATTCCTTCGTCGTCTGCTCACTCTTTCCTGCAGAAGAAAACGGTGTTCAATAATCCTACTGACCTGAGCTACCATGTAAGTAAGGTTCCTCCCCTGAATTTTAAACACTGGCTTGAGGAAGAAGAGAATCAAAATTGATGTAAGCTGCTCTGAAAGTAACGCCTCCTATTTATTTCCATAGGAACTACAACAACTACAAAGAGCACAATAACACTATTTTGTAGACCAAATTCTCAGCTACAAAACATTATTTTTCAACATAGTCACCACCGTTTGCTCATTTGTGTGGATGAGCTGATTGAGACCCTCTTCATTACTTGGTATGACAACTGTGCATGCCTGTCCAGAATTTTGGGGGGTTGGACTTGATGATCTCTGGAGGTCCCTTCCAAAACCCCTACAATTCTGTGATTCTGTGATTCTGTGAATATTGCTGGTCTTTTGCATTGCTGTCTTCACTGCTGAAATGCACCACTCACCATCTCACTGTGCTCACACTCTCTGTTTGGTCTCCATAAACTTTCAGCAAGCATCGAGTGTCAGTGGGTGCCATTTTTTCTGCATGGAAGAATTCAGTGACACACCTTTGCTTCATACACACTTTTGATATGTCATTTTGTCAGACTGCCCCTCAGCTGCCATCTGTTACACAGCAACAACATGGAATGGAATATTGGTGGGGAGGTTCAACCTGTACTTCCATCCAGCCAACATCCATCTTTGACACTGTGGGCCAATGTAATAAAATAGGAGGCATTACTTTTTGGAGTAGCCCTTGTAATTCATTCCTTGCATGCCTACAGGAGCCATCCATCTTCTCAGATAGCACAAGTCTTCTTTTCATCACTGTACCATAATCCACAAAGCTGCCATTGTGGAAAACACTCCAGGTTGTATTTAAATCTTCTTTGAGCTGGTTTTTAGACAGCGGAGCAGATTCTCATGAAGCAGCACACAGCCAGCTCCAGTGGATCTGGCCATGGATCATGGTACCTCAGTGGAAGGAGGAGTAATGCACAGGCACAACCCTACACCAAAAGGAAGCTTTAGATCTGCATGGGAACCAGCTAAAAAAGAATATGGAAAACAATAATAAAAAAACTGAAAAGATCACAGCTGGGCAAAATGAATAAAACAGATGAACGAATAAATTTCTGCTGCCACCTAAATAAAGTCATCAAAAGCTTTTCATTAAACCAATGGAACCCAGGCTTGTATAGAAGGATTTCTGTATGAATGACCACTGGGTCTGGTTGTGAAGTGCTGACTGAGAGGACTTTTTATTAAAACAAGTGGCTTGAAAGACACACAGAATTATCCCCAGCTGTAAGTGAACAGTGCCTGCCGTGCTCCTCAATCCACAGCTTGCTGCTTTATTGCTGTTTTGAGACTCGGCAACACGTGTTGCACAAAGAGGGCTGCTTGCGTTTCTTAGTGTAGAAGCTGACACACTGGAAACATTAAATATCTCTGGAAGCATAACAACCACTCCAAACCCTCTGTTTGAAATGCAGAGAAGTTCAATAAGAACAATGTGGAAAGATTGCTGTCTACCCTGCACAAATATAAAGCGCAGATGAGAGTCGTGATCAAACTCTACAATGCGGAACAAGTTATGTTAAAAAAAATACAAGGCTTTCAAACAGATCTCTCTACCTTCAGATTTTTTCGCTGGGTAAGAAACTCAATGATCCCCATTGCACTAATGCAGGGCTTCATGTATCTGTTGGTCTTCCTGCAAGCACCTGCATGAGCCAGTAAGTGCAGCGGGGCACTGCAGAAGGGGCCATGCCGGTATCCATGCTGATGCAAGGACCCAATGGGATCACAAACATGTCTTGAGGGCTTGTGTGCCCCAAGAGTGCTGCAGACAGGCCGAGGCACTGCCACAGGACTGCAAAGCTCGCTGTGATCAGGCTGTTCAAGGCCTGCCCAGAGATGTTTTCTTTATTGAAGATGGAGATGTGCCAGGCTCTCTGGACAACCTGCTCCAGAGTTTGACCTCCCTCATTTTGAAAAACAAAAATCCCTGCTATCTAATCAGAACTTTTTTTTTCTGCGTTGCAATCTCTGCCTGCTGCCTCTTGTCCTTTCACCGTACACCTCCAAGAGCAACGTGGCACTGCCTCACCACCCTCCCATTGTGTGGCTGTAGACCACTGTCAGACTCATCTCAGCCTTCTCTTAACACCAAGCAAAACCAGCCCTTTTGGACTCTCCTCACACACCACGTGTCCCACCTCCCTTGTCAACTTGGCAGTCCCTCACTGGCCCTGCTCCAGGACTTCCTCATCCCAGGAGCCCAGAACTAGACACAGAAACCTCATGAAGTTTAACAAGGTGTTCAAGAAATTTGTGGGACCCATCACACTAAATACCTTGCAAATATCCAGTGTCCGTTACCATCATTACTGACTCGGCACTGATGTTGGTAAATGTTCAGCTAGGCTGGCTTGCAACTCATGTTCAGATATCTGCTGCTAATGCTTCTTCTACAAAGCAGGACTTTTTGCTAGAAGTACAGCACGTGGATGGTGAGGCAATTCTCGCTCTGCTTTTGAAGGAGAAGATGTTAAAGAAATGCACACGTCTTGTGGTGGAAGTGGAACAGAAGATAACTTTGCTTATCCTCCTTCCTCAAAAAGAACTCCCAAATTCAGCACTGCTGCCCACACATTAGCTGGTGCCACCACACACACTGATGTCAGAAATATCTGAACCAAGTGAAAGCCTGGTAGAGGTCACCTAAGCTGGGGAAGAAAGAAAGGACAAATGCAGGCAGGAAGTCATTTGGCATTTAGAGAGAATGTGATCCATGCGAGGCTTAAAGAAAAATTGCAGAAGTTGACAGTAGGGCAAGACAGAATTCTTGGCCCTAGGATTAGTATAGACTCAGAGACATGAAGTACCAAAAAGATGGTGGTCCTTCATTCATAGAAGGTTTGACTGCACACTGTTTGTGTGCAGACAAAGGTGGAGAAAACACTTCCAGTACTGCTCAGTGCAGCAACAGCACAAAGGAGAAGTGGAATGGAGGGCAGCTGTTGCCATGGTACAGGAAAAGTCACAGCAAGCAGCAGGCCAGCGAAGAACAGAACCCACATGTGGGGGAAGATTATGGGATAGGGAACACAGAGAAGCAGCAGAGAGGAAGAAGATGCAGGTCCATTTGCAGAGGGAAGGTAAGAGCAAGCAGGACAATTACATTCCTAAGAGAAGGCAGCAGCAAGCACTGGGCAAAGAGCAAACCGGAGAGATGGAGGGGCCATGCCTGGAGAAAATAGGCTTAGTAGTAACAAAGAAAAGGGATGGACTGTGAGCATTCAAGGTAAAGGCGATGCACAGAGAAGTCCAAAATGTGCAAGAAAAGTCCAAAAGAAGAGGTTGTACACAGGGAGAGCAGTAATAAGGAGGTGGCATGAGCTGGCCTGAAAGGAGACAGGACACTCCTGAAATGGGGAGGCTGCAAATGGCATGGGGCAGAAATAGATCCAGAAATCCTACTGAGTGGAATAATCTTGCAAATAATAAACAAAAAGGAGTAGGAGGTAAAGCAGAAGCCATTCTTTTTCATGCAAAGAAAGAAGTTATTTCCTGTGAGAGGTCAATGTCCCATAACTTGCCATGAAGTACTGAATTACAGTGCCACAAACTTAACCTCTTTGTTTTGATCCCTTTCAAGAAAGAGGTTTCGCAACTCCAGGCACAGCCTTGCAACAAAACTTTCAAGGCGCCATGCCAGCCATGTCCTGGCTGCATGACACCAGATCTGGCCACAGACTCCTGCCAAGAGTAAAGCACAGCCTATGCACATGCACCAGCAGACTTTTTGGCAGACATACAACTGGCTTTTTAAGACACAATTAGTGCTTTAGCCACTAGAGCAGCTTCAGCTACTTAGAACAGTGCCTCATTGTTTCCTACCCATCCCATCCTCTATACTTTTATATGGCCGTATTAGGAAGGTGTACTTCATGGAGAGTTTTTTGTGGAGGGGAGTCACCACAGACAGGTGAGGAAGGCTCATCTCTGCTGGATCATGGCATGCCTACAGAAAGACTACATGTCCCTTCCCTGAACACTCTTCCAGACAGTGTGGTGCAAGCAGGCACCCTCTCTTTGCAGCAGTGTCTCAGCAGCACTGCTGCACTCCATCCCCAGTGATATGTCCCATAAGCAAAGATGCAGTGTCAGGATGGAGGCAGCTGTGCCTACCAAAGTGTCTCCTGGTTCATGGCATGATAAAACTGTAGCAGGCTGTGAACAGCCCTTCACTGAGTCTTTTATTCCAAACACCTTTCCTGTAGCAAAGAACTAAGATCTGCCTCCCCCTTTCTGGCCACCATTCCCATCTGCAGCACTGGCAATAGTCTGCCTTTCTTAAATGGGGACGAGATACGAGAGAAGAAAAATGCATCTCCAACAGCACCTGGGGGCACTTTTTTTCCAAAACAACCATTTGCTGATAGGGTTGGCGATGCACAGAATGCAGAACATTAGACCTACTGCTTCTTTAACCCCTGTATAGCAGGGATTACTATCCAGATACCCCTCCCACATTCAAATTTAGGAGATGCCAGCAGCCTGGCTCACCACACTCTGTTCTCCCCACCCAAAAAGAGCACAAGAAGGATGTGGAGCAGGTCCAGAGGAAGGTCACTAAGATGATCAGAGGACTGACTGGAGCATCTCTCCTATGAAGAAAGCAGGCACTGTCTGTGGTCTCTGACTGCCATAAGAAAAATGGCTTCTGCAGTTTATGGTTTGCCCTAGACCTGAAATGATACCTATTCTGGGCAAAGGTGTCATTTATCTTGCCCTAAAATAAGTACATAGCTTTCAAATAAAATCTTCTAACATGTTGTCTGAGAGTCCAGCACCTGGCACGACAGTCCTCCACAGTGGCAACCTCTGCCTCCACGTTGGTCTCACCAGGAGAATGCCCATCTGTGCATGCCCTGTCCCTGGAGATGTTTAACACCAGGTTGGATGGGGCCCTGGGCAATGTGATCTAGTTCTTATCTAGTGGCTGGCAGCCCTGCGTGTGACAGGGGGTTGGGGCTCGATGATCCTTGAGGTCCCTTTTAACCCAAGCCATTCTAAGATTCTGTGATTCTCTCCATACCTTTAAATCTAAAGGTTACAAAGTGATCCCCAGAGCCTCCGTTTAGAGATTTAAATTATTCTCTAATTTTTCAAGATACAGAAACTCAAATACATGAGTAAATATATATGTGAAAGGTACGAGAGAGACCTCAAGCCAACAGGTCAGAGACTTTTCTACAGAAACGCGATTCTTAGCGTATAATACATCACTCCTCAGTCAAACAGCAAAAGAGGTGTAGAAATAAGTGGTAGCTATTATGTTACTTTTATAGGGATACCTGACCTAAGTGTGGTGTCCTCTAGAAGTTTAGTAAGGATAAATAGCTATGTTTCTTACAACATCCCATTAACAAACGGCCAAGTGGAATTAGAAAAGACATGGACCTTTTAGTATGGCAGCTATCCACTCATAATATTGAGATTACTAAAACAAGCATTTACTGAAATACAACTGTACTCGTCCCAAAAGCTACAACCCTAAAAGACAGTCAGCTTTCTAAATAGATTCATTAAATGCACACTATTAAATATTAAAAACTAATGTTCCTCTTCCCTCCACACATTTGGATTTCTGACAGCTTGCTGTCTACGATGACATTCCTAAGGTAGACTTCAAATGAAAAATAGAGCATGAAATAGCTCAGTAAGTCTTGCAATCTCAAAGCACAGTATTGATCTATTGATAAAAACAGCATTTATATTAGCCTGAAAAATTACAGTAAAGGAGAATATTTCGATTCTTGTTCCTGAAGAGCACATTAATAAAAATTAATGACAATACAGACTAATTAGTACAGATCATGGTTCTTACCCTGGTAACTCTTCACTAGTGTCATCTTGTTGTAATCTTCTGATAAAATGAATTCCTGGGGAAACAGAAAGAAGAAGAGCAACACAGAAACAGGGTTTAGAGATGCGAAGTGTCCAAGACTACTGTCATTTGAATCTGTCTGTGTTTTTACAAATTTTGAGTACCTCCATCTAAAAACTCCACAAATCATTTCGTTTTTTAAAAAGGCCTAACAAAGCCTCATGAGTTCTTCTGAACAGAAAGGTGGGGATAAAAGAGGAACCATTAAAAAGAACTTAAGAAGCTGGCAGGATGGCTAGCTACAAATGAGCCAGTGTACCACAAAGCAGGAGACCTGAATGCCAGCACACAGCAAACATCTCACAGCTCAGGATTGCTGGAGCAGATATCTGTGCATGCACCCAGCTATGTACACATCCGCATGCACACCCCAACCTGAACCTCGGGAAGCTCCAATTAAATTTGTGAGAGGCCCCTGGAGATGCTCTCTCCAAACTATGTACTAATAATCCACAATGGGGAAAAGTTCAGATTTCTGTTCAGAAGTCTCTCGATACTTCAGGCAAACAAACACAGACGTTCCTCCCCACCTTGATTTTATCTCACTATTAATTATTATTTATTCTGGTATCTTAGAAGCAGACTTTCTTGCTTTGCTGCTCCTCTGCTGTGGCTACCAAGCAGTAGTGCATGGGCACAGGGTGGCTGCCCAGGGACAGGCATGCAGAGTGACCTAGCTTGGCTCTCTCTATAGCCAGGGAAGAACACCCTACAGGGAGATGCTCTGCAGTCCTGCTGCCCTGGTGATGCTGTTTAACCATCTTTAAATTGGCTTTTAGAGGATGCGAATGATGAAAATCAGCAGTAAAGAGTCTGTGTGGAGGTCTCAGCTCCTGGAACAGTGCCACGTGGTTAAACAGAATGAGCACCTGGGTGTTCCTGCTGCTTATTTTAAAGGAGAGAGCTGTTCAGAGTAGGGGAAACAGTGGTCACAACACAGCTTCTGCAGCTTCACTTGGGAGGAAACACCTGGCAAAGGGTGGGCCCTGCTGCACCACTACATGAGCTGGCTTTCAAATTGCCCTCAGGTAATTGTGTGCAGCCGTCCTACTGAGAGAAATGTGAGAAAGAACAAGGAGCTTGAAAACACATCGTATTAAATTATTTAAAACAAACTATGCAGAAGCTCCCTGGGCTAATCTAGCTTGGGGCCAGCAGTAAAACCTAATTTATTTAATCTGGAAATAGTGTGAAAATAAAAGGAACACTGTAAAACACAAGATGAGCTACATTTTAAAGTTGTGCAATATCCATGCTTAAGCACTGCCAAAAGCACTGACAGAAAGGACTGGGCTTCATTTTTTCACTATTTTTAAGGCAAATCAAATGTTTAGTGCTGAAGAGTATGAGAAAACATTCTAAACACTGAAGCACTGATATTTACCCAACTTTTCTGATCTGGAACAAAGAGTCATTCTGCATATCCTGTGGGGTCTCCATGTAATCAGCATGGCTCTCCAGCATCTGGACTGTCCCTAATACACCATAATTCCTGCTTGGCACCAAGGTGGAGAGGCTGCTACATGCATCTGTTGGAAACCTACAGGTCCCAGCTTCCAGGAAACAACAGTGAGTGGGTTGAGGCAGCTATGTATTGCGCTGTTTCTAGTTTTCTGCTTGTAAATCAGTAATAAATATGTTGTCTTGAATTGCACTACTTCACCTTCCACTCCTTTATTCTTATCCACCTCCTCTTAGCTTTCCTCCGGCAGCTGAGGATTACAATGAAGGGTGTTATTTAAATAGTGGTGACAAATCAATTAAGTCAGCTGGATTTCTATACCAGGGTCACCTTAACTCTGCAAACCACAGAGCATTAAAAATCTGCTATACCTCCCTACTTACTTACAGGGGAAGTGGGTTTAATTAACCACGGCCTGACGAAGGTTAAACCGCCACACAGAATGCTTCTCTGCAAAGCCCACTTGAATTAAAGACCCTTTTCTACGAACGTTAACTGTCTGCTGATGTTGCCTGAAAAGAAACAGCTTTAATTGCTGCAACACGTGGTGGGAGAATATGTTTGTCTTTCCCATCCTGGTAGTGAACACAGATTGCACCGGGGTGACGCACAGATGCAGGTGATCAGAAGTGCAGAGATGAGGAACAATGCTTTTGCATTTTGCCTTTGGCAAACTTGACATGGCCGTTCTGCTCAGTTATCTGTGGACAACTTATTGGAAGGCTGAAAAAGTCTCCCGAATCTCCCCGTTGCAATGCAGTGAATCAAAACACAATGGCAATTAGTAAGGTTAAGCCAAGTATTGATTAGGTGTGCTTTAATACAAGCCACGGTTGCATGTTATCGATAGAGCACTCTATCTAAAGGGATGAACACAGTACAATACGAACACAGTTCCATTAACCTGAATACTGGATGTCATGATATTGCATGTTCTTCTCTCCACCTCCCCCAAGATTTCTTGCATCTTATTTTCTCCCCTGAAAGCATTTGTTACTTTGAGAGTCATCTCCTTTTCACATTTTCTAATTTTTAAGTTCTTTCATTTCTTGCTCCCCTGTACACAGTCACTTGTTTTTCTACTGCCCACGTTCCTCTATCCCTCTCAAGGTTTTAATTACATCAGTAGACAGGTAATTTAACACAGGGCACCTTGCTCCACGAATTCATGCCCTATTGCACATACACTGTGGCTGCTGCCCTACAGAAACATTGACTGTATCTTTTTAACATTGTACCAGCAGAAACTGGTTCTTATCCTTCCATACATCAATGTTTCACACTTCTCAGAGCTGCTGATGCTTCAGTTCTCATTAGGCGGTTTTTGGGCACTTCTTAATGAGCTAGAAAGGCTGAGGTCAGCCACACAGCTCACACACAGCTTGTTAAGAGAACAGGGAAAGATTTGAGTCTTGTGACATTGCTTTTGCACAGGAGGGCCTGTGACACATCACAGCACTTGGAATGGAAAAACCAAAAACCTTCCTCGCAGGGATTAAACATTTTTCTGGTAAGATCATCCTCTGCTCTTCAGAGGGTTTTCTTGTGTGTGGATTTGGTTTGTTTTTTTTTTTAATTTTCATTTTTCTCCTTTGAGTTTCTCTATATGTTTTGTGCAATACTGAAACATTACTGATCAATCTTGTCTGTCTAAGGAAATCTTATTACTATTACATCAGTGGAGTAATCAGTGCTATGAAAGCCCTTAAGGTGAAGTCCTGAGCATTTGCAAAGGCCAACCCAATGCCCACTGCTGTACAGAGGCTCTCAGCTGCACCTTCATTGAGCACATCTCCCTCACACTGTAACACACACACACCAAAAACTTCCCCTCTTGATTTTAAGACTTCTATAAGTCTTCTATAAGACTGCAAATATCACTGGTGTTCTGTTTCGAATTATTTGTGTTAAGGTAAAGAAAACACATACCCTAGTGCATTTCAGAATCCTCGGCCGTGCATGCTGGCTGATATGACACAGAGTCAAAAGAAGAGCCATACCCTTCCAGAGCTGCAGGTGTACATCAAGTGTTGGATGACAAAATAGAACTAGAGACCTCTGCACTGGCAACTGAATCCCATCTCAGAGTTAATACTTTTTATTTACTACCTATTCACAGCCTCGCTCCCACTCCAAGGAATTTACAGTCTATACTCTGTTAGATGATACCATTTTGACAGCACAGTGTGGATCTTTGAGGCTTGACTCGATCCTATTAATACAAGTTACTGACAGTGCTCTCACCGTATCTTGCAGAGAACAGCAAACTAGCTTCAGAAATTGAGTGGAATGAATACTCTTAAATCTAATGTCAGTGACTATGTCTACATCTGCTGCAAAGAAAGGTCTTCAAAATGATTACAGCATTCTCACTTCATTAAATGCAAAAATCAGAATAGGATAGAAACTATTACGCTATTTCTTGGAGAAAAAAACACACTAAACTTCCCACTGTGGCAGAGGTGCACACCAGCAGGTAGAGCCTAGGTGTTCCTAGTACTCTTTACAGCCAAGCTTGTGGACATCTGCACGATCAGATGATGTGGATGATGAATCTATATTAAGCGCCATCCCCAAGAAAGAATTCAGACAGCGCTGTTCCTTTGACTTGTTTTCCTTGTGGACCTTCTCCAAGTATGTAACAACTTCATCTGAACACAAGCAAGGTCAGATAAAAAGTTCAATTTCATTCAGTTTCAGCTACCTAAAAACTAAATGCCTCAGTTGTATCTTCAGAAATAGCATACGCAACATGGGTATTCCCAAGGGCAATTCACTTCTCTATTGGCAGCAGAGCCTCATGATTAACTTTGTCTAGGAAGCTAACTTTTAGATGAAATTAAGCGGGGAGTTGCATCCTGGCAGTCAACTCTCCTATTTATTTCAAGTGATAGACCTTTCCTTGTTGCTTGCTATAGTGGTATCAAGAAACTTGCACCCATTAATATAATATTTTCTTCAGAGGAAGGAATTTATGACTGCAATAGTCTTTTGGCTTCCAAAAGCAACCTGAGGCAGCCCCTAAGACAAAAAGAAATACAAGTGCCATTTATCCAAAAAAAGGGATTGCAAGGCATAAAAATGATCACAAGAAACTTTTTTTTTGTGCTTCAAGTACTCTTGCTTTCCAAGCAAGATGCTTGACAAACTTTCACTCAAGAGAGAAGTGTACTGTGCTGCACGAAAGTTGATGCAGCCTTCATGCTGAGAAGTTACAAAAGGTTGAAAACAATCTCTTACTTCTACATCTTTGTAGAAGTAAAAACTGTCAGTCTGTTTCTTAAGGAGAAACGGGGCCTAAAACCTCACTTCACTGTGGCTTTGCTGGAACATCTTTATCTAACAACAGCATTGCTGCCCATCTTTCTCAAAAGGCACCACAGGCTTTTCTGGGGTGACAACCAAAAGCCACATAACTTTACAAAGTTTCATGTAAAAGGCAGTTTCACTTTCTTATTCATATTTATGTGTGAAAGTAAAAGCAGTAGCACAGAAAGATGAATTTGACATCATGGGAGCTATATTAGCTTATGCAGCCCTTGCCATGAGATCTTCCCTTCCATACAAAGCAGATGCACAACACCTTTCAGAGCTTTTCTGCCCTGCACGCAAGGTGCTGGAGCAGCTGACCAATGCCCAAGTATTTCAAGCTACTGAAGTGAATTGTCTGTACATTTCTTCTGAGTGTTACACAGTAAAAGTGCACTAAGACCACCTTGCTGCAGGAAGGTCTCTTACTCTGTGAACAGCGTGCCCTCCTTGTACACTTTTGTGCTAGACTAATTTTACTCCTGTATAAGTGCTTAGAATGCCCCTCCAAAAGGTGCTTGTAACCTACCCTTGAGTATTTGGTGTTAGATTTTCCCTAACACCTATATATAGCAAGGACTTGAATGTGGGGCTACCCTTCCTCCATCTCCACCTTCAAAACATCTTGCAACATAATACAGTTGTGGCTTCTCTTGCAAGCCATGGTTTTCTGCAGAGGGAAACTTTCCATCCCTTGTGAAAGTTTGCAGAGCATATTTTCTGCAAAATCCTCTACTACACAGTTGCTTAAAGCTAGTAGGGACAAAATGAAGCAACACAGACTAGCCCTTCCCTCTCCTATTGACTTGTATTCATAAGAAGGGAAAAGGAAAGCAAAGCGTGGCAACAAATACAATGTCTTAGAGGTGGCAATGCATACTAAGAAGTATCCGAAGTAACATGTTGGTTTACCACCTGCATACCTCATTAACCATCTTTAGCTCTAGAATGGAAAATACTTGACCCTGTTCAGACTCTCTGACTCTTCAAGGCAAAATGCCATGAAGATAAAGGACATCTCTTTCATCAAGCTGGAATACTTAAATGCCTTATTTACAGTTGCCTTCACATTCCTCAAAGGCCTGGTGAAAACAAATGCGTCCAGTAGGACTGGAAAATTAAAGCTATTTCGGAGAGTGGGAAGAAGGGAATTTCAGAGGTGCAGGGAATTCTCTGGCAGCTGTCCCATCTCCTAGATACAAAAGGAGAAATCTCCTACGAGCACTGAAAATCTCTGGTGCTGAGCCATTAATAGCTTTATGGGTCAAAGCCTTCGCATCTTTGAAACAGCTCATGGGCAATAGCTAAAAGGGCTACACGTCCCATCCCAGATACCATCTTGGTTTAGTGCAGACAGCTGCCCTTCTGTCAACCTATGGACATACATTCAGTTATAAAGCCCATAAAGCAGCGACAAAGCAGTAAAATTGGAAATGAAGATAAAAATGGTCTTGAACTGTAGATGTCTAATGATGGGGCACAGGTGAGAAGTCCCTCCCTGACCCCTAGTTCCTTTCTGTATGGCAATAGCATTTCATCAACTATTCCACAAGAAAAATCCAACTTTTAGAGAGTCAATTGCTACTCTCTATTCCAAATCTAAATGACAGGCTCTTGTTTTGATATCCCGCTTCCTTTCCATACACACAGATCTCTGAGATGTTAATAAACCAATTCTTTCAGCAAGAGCATTGACCTATATGAGCAATTACTATAGAGGAACTGAGATGAAAACAAAATCTGAACCCTGAAACTTGGAAAAGTAGCTAAATATAGAGCAGAAATTCATCTTCTGCCTCTCAAACATTATTTTTCCCCTCTCAACTGCTGCTTTCAGAAAACTTTGGTATGGCATGATTAACAAGACACTCATTTAATAAAACAACAGCTGTTCAGCTGTTTTTTCTTTAGTTCTTTTTGCTATTTTTTTAAGATAGATGCAAATTAAGACTGTCTGTTTAGTTGCCTAATAAATATTGCAAACTCCATTCAGTCTTTATGTGAGGGCTGGAGAAAAATTTGGAGTAATCTATCACTTTCCACACTACAGCTTTAGATCCACTGCAGTAAAAATTCTCTCTCCCGAACGCTAGCAAAAATATCCTCACCCCATCACACATATACTTCTCAAAAGGGAAGCGTTTCAACTAGAAATCTTTGTATGTACTTACTGAGATTGTACCATTGTCTAGACCTATGGACAGCCTTCTGGTTTCCGGGTTAAAAGACATGCATGAACATGGAGCTGAAAAAAATGAACATGATGATGAAGTTAACAAAGCTGCGATTTTCTTGAAGTTCTGGAAAGCTAAAACTAGCTAGCATGCTTCACCGTGCTTCATCATTTTGCCCCCTTCCAATAGATACACATTTTAAAAAAAACAACAGTGCCTTTTTGTGCCATTCATTCTATCCTATCCTATTAGGGCATGGATTAACAGTTATTTATTGCTCCAGTTTCTTCATTTTTCCTTACGAATGCTTTCTGAAATTGGGCATGAGGCATGTTATACAAGAACTGTGCTGGCGTATCCATATGAGTGGTACCTGACATTTCAGTACACGTTTTATATTTATTTAGCTGAATAATTTGGGCAGTTTTTATAAAAACAAAACAAAACCAAGCCATTTGCCTGCCCTTTATCAGCAATAAAAGAAAATGCTGTCAAAGACTCACATCCTACACCTGCAGTAAGAAAGTGAACTTGACTCATTGTTAGCAGGAGCTGAGCTACCAGTCCAACTGCTCTGTGGTCATTTCCCCAGACAACATTGTTACAGTATCACATACTATGGCCAAAATACAAGACTCTGTGGAAAACTTGCCACTGATTCTTACATCAACACTAATAAATATCAGGATACACTCTTAAATTGCTCATAAATCAGTCCCCCTAGGATACAGAGAGGTTTGCATACAGGGTAAAATCAGACTTTTCTTGTAATAACTCAAGTGATATGCTTGGTTTAATCAAGATACTGTGAGGCTGCATTTAGAAGGCAGGGATTGCTTTTACCATCCAGCACAGCAGCATGCTGTCCCCACAGAACCCTTCAGTAATCACTTCTCAGCACTGTGACTAGGGACAGGCATCCATCCCCTTTCTGTAGTGGTAAGACCACTGATTAAACCGTATTTGTGTAATAGATGTTGAGTGCAGTCAGACGTGCTTTTAATTCTTTTCCCCTCCTTTTTAGTTTCTTCTCTCCGCTGTGATTACATGCAGTGGTTTTGTTAGTAACAGAGTTCTTTGTTTTACAGTGCCATGTACTTGCTATATTCTCCATTTGAACAATGTCTTACCTACAGTTGTACAGCTCATAGCTCAGCAGATCTTTGTTAGTTAGCAGCTGAGCTATATCACAGCAAGGAAAGCCTGTTTAACAAAACTATTCTACCTCTAGCACTGCACACCCCCAGTACATTTCCTAAGGGATAACTAATTGCAAGCAGGAAGCCAATCACATTCACATCCAAGAATTAAATTAAAGAAAAGGCTTCAGTTCAAGGGAACTGCCAGAACAGAAATGCTACATTATGGCTACTAACAGTAATGAAATCATTCCTTTCTGTACCTCTTCTTCAGAAAAGGCAAACTCAAAGCTTCCCTTCATATGGTGGGACGCTGCTATGATACTGAGACTTCCAGATCATAGTGGAATTAGGATGTTGTAGGAAAAAAATGACAAAGTAATTCTAAGTAAACATCATACCCTTTTAAAAGGCACTTAATACCAAAACAGGCATATTCAACATTCCAGCTTTAAAATGTCAAACAGTGTGCATACGTTGAAAAAACTATCAGTAACTCTGAAGATGACAAACAAACAGTTTACAGAGAAAAACTCAGTTAAATTAGCTATTTAAAGTATGCTTCTTCCAGATAACTCAAAGCACTTCAGATACAAAAGGTACAAGCAAATATGAGACACGCTGCTAAATAAAGGCCACATTTGAGTTCCAAACCCACATGTTCTTTGTCACAGCAATGTGAAGATACTTCGCTATAATCATGTTCCTAAAGGAATTCTTAAATAACACGTACTCTTGGAAAAATGAACGTCAGCCCTAGCTGCACTAATGCAATTGAAATGGCACCAGTTGCAACCAGACAGCAGCAGCTTATACTTTACATGAAAGTTAGACACTTTCTTAAGCACTTGGGCTCATTATCAGGAGGGGCACAAAAAAGAAAAAAAAAGAAAAGAAAAAAAGAAAAAAAGAAAAAAAAGAAAAAAAAAAGCCCTAATTTTCTAAGATGTTAAAGAGCCCTTTAAAATAATACCGAGGAAAAATAACAGCACTTTGAAGACTCTCCACTTTAACGTTTAGCTATGATTTGGATTTCACACTGCAAGAGGCTTGACCTGATCCGATGGGCTGGATATTCTTGACATGTAAGTCTGGCTGTATTCTTACATATAGGGCAAATACACAATAATGCTATGATTTTTTGCCTTTGAAAACAGAAATCTGGAATTCCTTCATGCTCTAAACAACGAGTCTCCTCAATTAGAAGCTGACAGAAGTGGAAGACAAATACAGACTTTATACTTGCATTTTCAGAGGGCCAGAAGTGGCAAAATGGAAGATCTAAGGGTTGTGTTTTGCTTTGCACAGTTTTGACCATCTGCTTCAATGCAAAGTGTTAGCTAAAAAAAAAAACACCGTAAGGCCATGTACTATCTGCCTCAAACCCTGGGTATTCCATTGTGATAAAACCTTTACTCAGTTCTCCATCTGCGAGAGGCTTTTTCTGGTTGGGTTTGGATCTACTGTGGTCATTCATTTTTGTGCAAAGCTTTCTTGTATTGACTATGATACCTTCTCATAATTCTGTAAAAAGGTGGGGTTTTTTTTCCTCCTGTGCAGATACTAACAAAAAATGTAAAGATCACACACCTAACCATGAGGATTAACCTGCTCAGAGGTCCACTGTTAACACAAGTTGTTCAGACAACTCTGACATGAAGTAGTCAGATATTCAGCTTACCTAGTTTGCTTTACTGACAACACAACTGCGTATTTTTGATAGTGGCTCTGCCTGTGGTGGTTCTTGAAAGCAGACTGAGTTCTACCATTGGCTCCACCACCTCCAGCCACCAGCATCCATCACCACATTCTGTCAAGTGTTTATCAAAGGCCTTCTGGTGCTTAATGCTGCTGTGACACTCTGGCTGAGAAAGCCAGCAAAAGACCACAGAAATGATATCTGCCATGGGGTGTTTCCATTACCCTTCTCTTTGCAAAGGCTTGGCTGTGCAATGACCTCACAGCTCACTCTTTCTCAAAAAATGGGGCTGCTGTGTTGTCCACTATTTTCTGAAACACCCACGGGTTGGGCAGAAAACTCTGTAACTGAGGAAAGCCCACTCCTAAATAGCAAAAATGTCCCTAGTTGGAAGAACCTACTGAGCAGCTATTTAATGGGCTTCACATTCAGAACGCACTGATGGCTCCATTGGTTGGCAGAGTCTGAGCAAAGCATATGGCTGGCTCAGCCTCAATGCCTCATCCTCCTAACCTCCCAGAGATTCTGTCTGCAATCTCAGTTATTAAGACTACCTAACAACAAATTATGAAAGGGTGTGGGTCACGCAGCACTGTAACCAGCCATGAGTCACGCTAATGGGTAATCTGTAGGTGGGACTGCCATTCTCACAGCTTGCTAAGCAGCACAAAAGCATCATCATGCCTACTATTTTTCTTCTGAAAAGAACCTCTGTTGTTCTCTAGACAGCAAAAAACAACGTGAACCTAAAGCAGAGGACAATCCAAAAAGGTGATCCATGCAGAAACAGACAAAACGCAAATGCATGCCCGCGCAGAGGCTAACTCAGAGCCCTCCCTATGATTTTAAAGCATAAAGCCATGGCTGATGGCATTGCTCCAATGTTTAATTATACTTGATCATTCTTGAACCTGGTGAATAACTCAGTACAATGTAAATGTCTCATGACTCAAAAATTTACCAGCCTGAAGTGAAAGAACAGCATCAGGTGCTCAGATTCATGAAGGAATTCTAAAAGAGCCCCCTCTGAGTGGGTCTGGATCTACTCAATCTTTTCCAGCATAGCTATTATTACTGGCAATAATGCAGCCTCTCTACGATCAGTGGAAGAGCTAAGATGATTTTAAAGTGAGAAGTGCCACTTCATAACAGTTTGTCTGAGGGAAGCAGACCTCTTTGGACAGATGAGGGAAACCAAAGCCATGGCTACTTATTGTTACAGAGGTCCACAGTCTGCCACAAGCAAAGGAAAAAAAAAAAAAAAAGAACTTTCTCTCTATTTAGCAAAGGAATGCTTTCCTGGAGCAGGCAAGCAAACATTGAGGCCACTCTATGGCCCCAAACTGATGATGTCATGGTACTAGAACTGTTTAACATTTATACGTACTAAACATTTTCTGCATCATGGAGATAGAAATCCTCTTGCAAATCTAACATTAGCTTAACATACTACTTTCTCTGGAGAGTAACAATGCCTCAATGGGACTTGACAAATGCTCCCTGATCTGCTTTCTAGAGACAAGCTAGCCCAGCACATATGAGTTAACTGAGGAGCATCAGCATATTTCTGCTGCAGATGGCCTGCAAAGTTTTCTCCTGCACTCAGTACAGGTCATGACAGGGCAGTAGTCTTTTCAACCACCTCTAGGAAAAATGGACATTAATCTGCATTTTCTTTCAAAGCATGAACACCCTCTTTGGGACAGAAGACCTACAGTAGATGATACTGGAGAAATTCATGATGAAGGCTTGGTTTTCGTCATCTAATTGTGGGGTAATATGATTCTGCTCCTCCACTGGAAAACCAGCCTTCTCTGTCTAGTATGCCCTCTATTGTATTAGCTACTGCAGGATATTAAGTTATTATCAAATAAAACCATTTACCATTGTACTCTAATGGACTGAGCACATGCAGTAGTAAGGGCAGTGATTTATACTGGAGACTTACAAAGCTTTATGGACTCCATTAGTGGTGGAACACAGGACTACATTTCAAGCTTCCACATTTGTTGATCCATATTCACATAAACGCTCATCCCTTCCTAGCATATTTGTATGCTTTTGCTGCTGTAATCCCTGATGCCTCTCGGGAACATTAGCATGCAACTTGGTAAAGCTTCACAGAAACCGTGAGAGCTACTCAAGTACTGAATTTAATATGAAGTGGTAAGGCCACAAATGGCCATAAACATTAAGTTTAATCAAATAAAAAAAGACATTGTGCAAATACACAGTAGATAATGAACATTTCCTTATACTTACATGGCATTGCATGGTATATGCTGGGCCAGTACTGTCCACTGTCTCTCTTCAGCCAGACACGAACGGTTCTATGAAAGAAAAAACAAAACGCACGTGAGGAGGAATGGAAAAGTAACTATGAATGAAAACAAACCAGCAATGCTGAATGCACAAGGCTATGTTCAAAATGAAATTATTTCACTGAGAAGTAAACACACGAACTCCTACAGCAGGCCTACACATCAAGCACAGATGATGATGATGAGGGAAGCCCGTTCCTTGGTACGATGCAGTACCAAGCTGAACACATCATACAAGGCAGCCTGGCTGTCTTCCTCTGCTCTGTCAGTTCAGAGCTGCTGTCTTTAAACAAAAGCAACTAGACCTCTTGCAGTGCTCCAACACTTCCACAAATACATCAGTGGTTTCCCTCTGCTGGAATACCTTCCTAGTCTTTTCCTTGCTCATATTGGTATCATATTTGCAGCCCCTGTCACTCAATTAGCATGCAGTTCATCCATGCCCATCACACACGAGATGTTTTTCACTTGTTTCCTGAGCAAACGATGTGAAACTGATGTAGAAGCTGGGCCATTAAATATTTATTATTTCAGCCTTTGGTATCATTTGCTTCTTCTGGTCCAATCTCTAAAAATCCTTACTGGGACTCATTCCCAACTTTGATTCATCAGCTAATGTCATCAAAATATGCATAGTGCCACTAGCTAAAGCAGCTGGCAGCCAGTCCTCTGTTAATCTCAGCAGTCATCTCCTGATTCTTCCTGGACATCTCACTGTCCTCCCAGTTTCAGCCAACTCTTACCTGCCTCACTGTTCTTTGAATCCTTATGTCCAGTTTTAACTAGTGAAATTTGCATATAATTCTCTATTCCATTCATTTACTGATTTACACTAAATATATTAACCTTATCCAAAATACTTAGTTATCCAAGACAGCATCTGGTTAATGCAGCACAGTACATTTTCATTCATGCCAACATGTCTATTTTTCTCCACTAAAGATGCCACATGGCAGTAGATACAAGAGGGATCTAAAAAACCCAGTGTTGAATATTCTCTAGCAGCAAACCTGAAGTTTGCATGTGAGAGCATTGAGAAAATACACATCAAATGAACAACAACGGCTCTGTCCAATTAATGAACCATGGAAACAAGGCTTAAGGAAAGGAGTCCATGGTAATAATTCATGCTACATCTTTACCACAGAGAAAGTAGATTTCAGTCCTTTTTAGCCAGAAAATTTTACAGCAACACTTTAATACAATTTAGTACAAGTTGATCTAAAACACTACACATGCAAAACATAAGAACAGAGATGTCACACGCTCTAATAAAGCAGCTCAAACTACTTATTTGCCCTGCCAATAAATTAGTGTGCAAACTTCAGATTAAGAGCTGCACTATTCTATGCTCCTGGATTACAGATCCTCCAAATCAGTTTTCTGCTCATCCTGCCCTGAATCCAACCTGATTTTTCAGCACATATTTCAGAGACCTGAATATATGGCCACTACACAAGCTGCATCGTGTTACAATTTTCTCACATTTACACTTCAACATTGTATACAGCTCTAAGAAAAAAAACAGTATCTCACTGGATCTCCAATTCCCATTGTTACAGATCTCTCACAAATCACTCAAAACCCAAAAATTCAGTATAATTGCTTCCTAACTGTAGTGGCTTTTTTGAAATGAGCACATCAGCAGCTCTTCAGCAGACATGAAGTAAAAGCATTAATACCTGTGCAGTGAGAGTGCCAACCCTTCTGTCCCTTCTTACTTTGGATGGCTGTGCCTGTTGTCAGAGCAGCTTCTGAATCCAGACGCCGGCACAAAGGGTTGGGAACTCCCCATCCTTCTGCGGCTGTGCCCTGAGTTTGGGACACATCCAGCTCTGTCTGCTCATCAGAAAATCAAAGTGCTTGAAAAGCTTGAAGTGGAAGTGACCTTAAAGACTATCTAGTCCCAATACCAAAGAGGTGGTAAGAAGGTCACTGCAATCCTGAAAGTGAATCAAGCTCTGTTTCCCAATCGGATGAGCTCATGACAATGCGTTTTCAACAACTGAAATGGGAATGAACACTGCATGCACAAGAAAATACTGGGATATATCATAGGGGATTGAAATTATTCCGTTTGAAACTGCCTTGAGGATATGCACCAATACTCAGTGAGAGACCTGTCTTTTTTGTCCATTCCAATCCACATATTCACTGCTACTAGTTTCCAAACTCTTGAGCTGAGATAACATTGTCTCTTCTTCCCACTTCAAGGTCCTGGCAAATAATAAATTCAGCCTGGAGAAGAGAAGGCTCCAGGGGAACTTACAGCAGCCTTCCAGTACCTGAAGGGGGCCTGCAGGAAAGCTGCGGAAGGACTTTTTTTAAAGGCATGTAGTGACAGAATGAGGAGAAATGGCTTTAAACTGGAAGAGGGTAAATTTAGACTAGATATTAGGAAGAAGTTCTTTACTGTCAGGGTGATGAGAAGCTGGAACAGGTTGTTCAGAGGGGCTGTAGATGCTCCCCCCCTAGAAGCATTCAAGGCCAGGCTGGATGGGGCTTTGAGCAACCTGGTCTAGAGGGAGGTGTCCCTGCCTATAGCAGGGGATTGGAACTAGATGGTCTGAAACGTCCCTTCCAACCCAAACCACTCTATGATCCTAAATCTAGAGAGGTGCCACGTGTTACAGATTATTCAGCTTGTTAAAACAAAACAAAACCAAACAACATCAAAGACTATGTGTAAGAAAAGATCTTCTAAAAGCTAGGAGAAGCAAAAATAAATGTTTGCAAAAATGGCAATACTTTGGATGCTTTGTTTGTGTTTTTGTTGTTTGTTTTGAAACTACTCACTGCAGACTTCCTACTTAATTTGACAACTGTCTCAGCTAAGACTGTTCACTCAGTTGTGCTGGAAAAAAAAAAAAAGCTGTTTAATGCTTACTTTAAAAAAAAATAAAAATGAAATAACTGGTGGAGTTTCCTTGCAAAGAGTGGAACTACTTCTACCAGTGCATGTTTCTTCTGGAGGTACACAGTAAGTTCATTTCATTACATAGTCAAATATATTTCTATTCCATTACTGCTCATGCAAAATGAGAAAAAAATATCATAAGAACAAACAGTATGAAAAGCTGTTATCTGAAGTGTCTGAAAGTGAACATAATGAGCAAGACCATTCATGTAACTTGTTACAGAAATTCATTTTACTCTCCCCAGTAATTCATTTTTTAAATAAAGAAAAAAACAAGTCTCTTTAACAATTTATTTTTATGTTAAGGATGATTATTATCCATATCTTTAAAACAACTATCTAAAAGCTATCCTAAGGTTTATAAGACACAAAATCTATGTATAAGCAGACACAAAAGTACAAAAATCCTTATGGCTTATAACTTTCTTCTATTAGATCACGGGACTACTGAAAGAAAAAAAGCAGATGTCAGTTCATCAACTTCTGGATAAGCAGCATTTTTCTCCAAGTGGGCTCAGGCTGAAGAACCAACAGCTGAACGTGAGAGAAGCCCTCGGAAAAGAGCATCTTTTTTCAGCTGCAGTTCTGCACATCTTTGGGTACTTGAAACAGTATTATCCACCAGATGTGAAACCTTGAACTTCTGAAGCTTCTAAAGAATGCAGAGAAAAAACAAGTGTGAATGAAAACTTCTAGTTTTATGGTTATGTAGCACAAAGATCACTTGCTGGCTGCACGGTTACCGGATGGCAACCAGCACCCATCCAGGTAAAGATCCATTCTTCTGGAGCAATTCAGTTGGCATTGCCATGGAAATAAATGAATTGCCCCTTCATTCTGTGGCCAGTGAATTGGCTTGGAAAGATTTTAGAACCTATCAAAACAATAAATAGTCTTCTAGTGCTTTCAAAACAGAGATTGTTTATTTTTAAATGAGACAAGCTACACAGCTATAATGCTACCATGTACAAAACAGATGGGGGAGGTAAGGATATAATACAACCCTGCCGAAAAGGACCTGGTGGATGGGAAGCTGGACATGAGCCAGCAATGGGACCTGGAAGCCTAGAAAGCAAACCTGTGTTGGGCTGCATCCAAAGCAGTGTGGCCAGCAGGGTGAAGGAGGTGATCCTGCCCCTCTGCTCTGAGCTGTGAGGCCTCACCAGGAGTACTGCATCCAGATGTGGAGTCCTCAGTACAGGAGAGAAGTGGACCTGTTGGAGTGCATGCAGAGGAGGGCCACCAAAATGATCCAAGGAATGGAACACCTCTCCTATGAGGGCAGGCTGAGAGAGCTGGGGCTGTTCAGCATGGAGAAGGGAAGGCTCCCAGCTGACTTGAGAGCTACCTTTCAATATCTAAAGGGGGGCTGTAAGAAGGAAGGGACAGACTTTTTTTTAGCAGAGTCTGCTGTGACATGACAAGGGGAAATGGTTTTAAACAAAAAGAAGGGTGATACAGATCGGTCACAAGGAAGAGGTTTTTTACAATAAAGGTGATGAGGCAGTGGCACGGGTTGCCCAGAGTGGATGCCCCATCCTTGGAGACACCCAAGGTCAGACTGGACGGGGCTCTGAGTACCTGATGGAGCTGCAGGTGTCCCTGTTCACTGCAGGGGAGTTGGGCCAGATGGCCTTTAAGGGTCCCTTCCAACTCAAAAGCTACGCTATGCTATGCTATGCTATGCATTTTATTCTATCATATTCCATTCCATTCCACTCAAAAACATTGGGTTTATCCAAAGACCAAAGCCTGCCCCATTACAGTTCCTGCTCTTTGGAAAGGGGTGGAGGTTACCAGTGCTAACAATATGACACAGTTAAAAATGAAAGCACCCCCTTCTGTCAGCAGTCCTAACCACAGAGCTGATTAAGTACAGTTACAGAACAGTTTGCAAACAGGAAAAGGAACTATTCTGGAAAACTCTTTAAAACTCAAAGCCAGCTATTTAATTGTCAGACAGTGAGAAAAGAGTTTAGTTTTATCCACGGTTACTGCTTTTTTGTGAAGTTTTCTGCATGCACATTTTCCAACCATAAATATTTTAAATTTTATCTTGAAACAAAAAGAATTAAAAATGCCACCTGTTCTT